TAAAAGCTTTAAGGCCTTTCATAGAGGGTATCAGCTTGTATTCAAACTAAATTTATTTAGCAAAATGTGATTTAAAATGTATATATTGGGCCATTTTAAGGCCAATTGTGCAAAGGTCAGTCATTTAATTTAGTCAAAGGAAGTGTTAACACAAATGTATGAATGTATGAAAATAAGACCTTAAAGTGGATCTCTTTACCTCTGTATACACTACCAGTCAAGTTTGAGTACACTTGTGAAAACTAGGTTTATTTAATAATTGACGATATTTTATCTTGTATATGTTTCTGTAAGTACTTGTAAATAAAAAAACATGCTATAATATACAAAACATCAGAATGTCAAAGTGTTACGACCCCAAGTGTCTAGGGGAAAAGGGGTGTAACATTTAGGATAATTCTTTTGGAAGCAGGGGGGTTTTTGGTGAGGGACTAGGAAGCGTTATAAGGGTAAGAGTGGTGCCAAAGGAAAGAAAATAACAAACAAAAATGGAGCTGGCTAGGACAGTGAGGGAAAGCTAATCTGACTACAAAAGAAAACCCGAAACACATGGTCTTCGGTGTCTTCAACACCCTAGCTAACCTGCACTGACTACCCAAAACCATGCAAGACAAACGGCACTCACCCGTACTAAACTAGTGTACTAATACAAAATCAACTAAGTGTGTAAGTGTACCCAACAACCTAAACTAACCTTATATACACAAGTTTACACAAAAACACAAGTGAACCAGGAAGACAAATAAGGGAAAACGAGTAATAAATAGGAGCAGGGTACAAAAAGAACACAAAAGTTGAACATGAAACACTGGGGCAAGGTAATTACAAAACAAGGATGAACACACAAACAAACGAAAGTACAAAGAAACTAATGTAAAACCAACAAAACAACAAAGCCGAAGCTATACGAAAATACACACACACAAAGCAAAACAAACCAACAAATGAAGCCGAAGCAATAACCAGGAGCGCAGCGAAGCGAAGCGATAACCAAAACCGAACGGGACCGAAGTCAAACGAAAGGCCTCTCCTTGCTGAAAACCTCCAGGTTATATACTGAATAAGATGTGTTCTGATTGTCTGAGACTAATTAATGATGACATCATACTGAAACAGTGAAGTGGTGGTGGACCAATGGGGAAGGGAGAACAATCAAGGGTCAGCAGTGTGGAACATAGAAAAAAACACACACAGAACACACACTGGGACGTAACACAAAGTAATGTTCAAGAAAACTGAAAATTGTTTCTAAAACTTTGATTCCTCAAAATAGACAGCTTTTGCCTTAATAACAGCTTCACAGACATTAGGCATTCTTTTAAGACATTTCACCAGGAAATCACTCGACAAGTTCTCCCAGTAATTCTGAAGCAATTCCCAGAGATATAGGTCACGTCGGTTGCTTTGCTTTGATTCTTCTGTCCAGTTCCTCCCATACAAGTTCTATGGGATTGAGGTCTGGAGGCTGGGCAGGCCAGGTCATTAGTCTGAGTTGTCCTTCACTTTCCTTCACCAGATTGTTCCTTTTTCGGTCTTTATGAGTGCCAGTTTCTTCATATCGTTTGTTAGTCTTGGCCACAGCACTTACTGACGCTTGCAAAGTTCTTGCAATTTGTCTTGAAGATTGACCTTCATTTCTAAAAGTATTGTCTTTTTTCTTTTTCTTTTTGCTTAACTGAGCAAATTTTGCCATGTTCATTCAGGAATTACAAACTTTTACCCATGCCCCCTATATTTATAATTATCGTGGACCCTACCTGTTACCAATAATTGGTGACAAAAGGTTAATGAGGTAACATGCTAGTTAACTGTGAGAACATCTAACAAAGACAATTGTAAACTTATTTTAGAGTTCTTACACCATGTTATAAACATTTCTGATTTTTAACTAACCTGAGCTTCAGACTGGAATTCGCTTTTTTTTGGATTATCAGTTTATTGAAAAAAAAAATTAACATTTTCAATGCAGTTCACTTAAGATTTTCATATCATGTATGTAAATATTAAGTGTTTATAGACATGTTTATACAGTGTAAAGCACAGATAATCATGGAAAAAAATGGTTTCAAGCAGGTGTACTCAAACCTTTGACTGGTACTGTGTGTATTTTCTGAAAGCATAAGAAAGGTCCAACTCTGATGTGCTGTAATGCCAAAATGTATGCTGGAGACTCATATGACCAAATTACACCATAAAATATTTTTTTATTAAATGGTATCTTGCTTCCAACAGTTTCTGAATTAGCACTGAAAAGGAAATGACTGTGTATTAAATTTTCCAATACAAAAGATATGTAGGAAAGGCCTAACTCTTTTAGATGTTAAATTTCAATCCTATTGTTTTGTTTTATGTTCACTGTTTGGTTTAATCCTGACAAACCTGTATCTTTGTGCACACTTGAAGAAAATAAAGATTTAATTGGTCAAATGTTTCTATCAGAAACTGTAAATTGAAGTTTTTGTATCAAAACTATGTACTTAATTACAAGTTTAATTGAAGGACTCATGAATTCCCAAATGTTATTTCATATTTGAACTAGGCTATTTTCCACAAACATATCCCCTTACAGCTAATTTATCTTGCTCCTCTCCATTTTGGAGAAATTCATTCAGATTATTGCAGGTAAGGAATAGGTGTCCTTTGCTTCCTTTTTCTGATATATATATATAGATGTTTAGAAGAAGTTGGATTAGAGATTTGAATATTAGCGATGAAGACATTTCCTAGACATTTCTTCCAAAAACCTGAATCATTAAATGATTCAGCTAAGGTCCCTTCACACAATGCGTTTTACTCCTTGCAGAGATTTGTACATGAAATACTGTACAGTTTGTCCATAATCCCTTGTCCCTGATTTATAAGCACCGCTTTAAACATTGAGTGTTTCCAGGTGTGGTTTTAGATTTGGAGACTGGTTTCATCTGCCATGTCCACTTTTCAAGATAACATCCCATGCTCATACTGTTCATAATGCTTTTGTGGAATGTTTACTCCAGTCTTGATCTTTCACAGCAGCAAGAATGACTCTGGCTGATTGACCTCTGCTAAAAAGCTGATATTTCACTGGGACTGTTGGCATTCCCCTCCCTTGCATCTTTGGTTCCTGCCTTTATTAGATTTTATTTATGTGGAGCTTTCTATCATCTGAATAAATGAGGCTGGAGAGGGCTTTTCACTGTACTTCTGCTAAACCTGGGTGATTTCCTGGGTTATCCTGGAAGGGATGGATTTTAAATGACGGTTGTTGGAGTTTCGATTTTGTGCCTTTTTTGCATTAAATTGGTTACGTTCTGATTAAATATAATGTTCACAAAAGTATAAATAGGTCATAAGTGAGATCAGGTCATTCAGTCCATTTACTTTATTATTATTATTTTTTTGTTATCCTGGGTATCGCCTTCTACAACATGGCTGGGTATCTTACTCCAGACTTGCTCCATAATATAAATTTGATTTTTGTCCCACTTTTGTCATCTTGGTTTGTGTTTCCCTCCTCTGATGTGTTCTCATGCTCAAAGTCAGTGTAGGGTATTTATGTAAGGCCCGAAATCTCTTCTCTGAACTGATATCAGAGGAGGAATATGGTTTTTGCCACATAATGACCACAATTGTACTAGATATTTAAATTAGTTCTTGTAAAGCGTTGTGCATTTGTTTTTAGAATGCCAATTGATGTAACAGAAGGTTCAACACTTTTAACCATATTACACTATTTGTCATTTGTATTGCTTCCCTTTATTGTGTTGAAAATGTAAACGGTGTCAACATACAGTAAACACATTTTTTTCACAGGTAGCTTCTTCAGTTTCCTGTTTTAAATATGATTTCTGTTACCTACATGTGATTCTTTAAACCTGGTCTCCATTAAATGTTTTAAAAAGCCAACAATAGAATTAAAACCCAATATGAATGTTGTAAAAGCAAGAAAATTCCTTCAACTCATTGCTTTCAAAATATGTATTTTACATTTTTAATTTTTGGTCATTGTATGGAATTATGAACGTATAATTTCAGATGTATTAAAACAATGCAGAGAAAACACAATTTTGTGGGCAGATATTTAAATTTGGTCTTTTGTAAAATCTCCCTGAGCAGTAAAAAAAAAACAGCTGTCAGCAAACTAAGAAATTTTAATTGATTATGAATGCAGTTTATCTTGGAATCAGGATAACTTCATTTCTATGTATTTCTCATTTTAGGTTTTTTTGAATATACCATGCTATCATAATTCAGTATTGAAATAATATCACTATAGAAGTTACTAATAGGAATTAGAGCAGAACTTTTAAACCTGTTGAATACTTGAAGCTTTATGAGAAACTTTTAAACTTTTTAAATACCTAGAGCTTTATTAGATTTATTCAAAAGTTATACTTGTTTTGAGAATTTGTTATGAAAGGTATTATCTCTTTGTAATAAAAATATACTTTTCACATTCTGGAATTATGTTATTGCATGGCATACGATCAGCATCTGTCCTGAAGCTCTGTGATAATTCATTGCTTTGAGTTGTGAACTTTCACTTTAAAGGGGCTGTATTGTGCTGCTCAATCTACTAGTCATTTAAGATTTTTATTCCAATAGGTTTGTATTTGGACAAACTTGTTGAGATTTCTGTCCAATTATGTTTTTTTTGTGTGTGTTTTCTTGCGCTTTTAATGTAATTGTGCTATGAAACAGTCATTTGTATTGAGACAATGCATTACTCATTTTGGCAGGTAGCAGCAATGAATTATGATACCCATATTTCATGTGTGATGAACCTAAAAATATGTCTGAGTTAGGGTGCACTCTGTGGTGAACATGACATCAGTGCAAGACAGCTTATTATGGCTTGATGTGTGTACTAAACTGCAACTGGTAGAGCTTTCAGTATCTGAAATTAGCCAAGATAAGAACTTTTTGTTACATTTATGCTAATGTGCTTTCACATGAGTGAGAGATCCCCCATGTTGACATAATATACTTTAATATAGAAATTTCTCCCCCAATTTGTTTAGCAGCAGCTACTGAAGAACCTGAGGTCATCCCAGATCCTGCTAAGCAAACCGACAGAGTGGTGAAAATTGCAGGCATCAGTGCCGGAGTCCTTGTTTTCATTCTTCTGCTTCTTGTTGTCATACTGATTGTCAAGAAGAGGTAAGTCGATCTCAGCAATAAGTGATAAAGAGTACTGCTGAAGAGTACAAATATGTAACACATTCTTTACATTCTTTTGCACACAATCTGCTCAACGGTTTGTGCATTTCACAATGACATTTAAAACACAATTAGGAAAACATTTTCCTATTAATCTATTAATCTTTTTGCGTTTCACAAATGAGTTTCCGGTCTCTGTTCGGAAAGATATTTAAACATACAGAATATTATTTCATTCCAATGTTCCTGATTTAACAAGTGCAAACAGTATGCTTGATCACATTCTAGTTTGTATTATCTATATTGTTGTAGAACAGTTTTTACAGTGAGCAATGGTTCCATCTTCTGATCAGTGTACAGTATTGCAGGTTTTAAAAAACGAATTATTTGGTATCTTAATTTATTTAAAGTGATGATCATGTAGATGTGTTGAAATACACAAACGTTGTGTGCATATATATGCAGCAACATCTAATAATTGTAGAGTATTCCCTGTTTCTATGTATTTCCGCATGTTCTACATGTATATACATGTATTATATACGGATATCTCTGTACATGTATTACAGGGAACACATTTTAGAATTTATGGTGTATGTAAAGAGCACACAGATCCTATGAAATTTTAAGATAGAAAATTAAGCATCTCTCACCCTTTCACAATGCTGTTTGGAATAGCTTCTTAAATTATTTTGTACTTCTATTTTGACTTTCTCTGTGCAAAAGGCACAATTGTAAGCCTCTTTGGATTGTTCTGCCTCCCTCAGCATTTGAAACAGTGACCTAATTAATATTTATTTTGTTATATATGCATAAATACACAAAAAATGTTAGGAGTCCTTATACAAAATAGTAGCTGAATATATTGTCTTATATCCAATTGGGAAAAAAATACCTGACTTAGTATTTCTCTTTCACAATTATAGCTCAAGGTTGCCAAAATCAAGAAAAATCAAATTATACTATTCAAATGTTTCAGATTTAAAGCTCGTAAATCATGCTCAGCATGTTGTAATACACACAGTTAGGAAGCCAGGAGGGAGTGATAGACATTATTGACAAAAAGGAAAAGCACAGACATGATTAAATATATGTAGAGCTTTACAGCGCTAATTTGTGACTGAACAGAAAGCAAATCAGACAGAGGCATTCTCTGCTGACAAGAAGAAATATTTTCAAATTTATCTTAATTGGCAGAATAGTCTTGGAGACTCCTAGATTGTTCTGCCAATTATGAATCATTTAACACTCCTTTTGCTCATTTGGTAAATGCAAAACCTTAATTCCCCTTCTGCGTGTCTTTTTGCTTACTTGCATTTTAATGTAAACATCCACATGCTATTCAAAGCCCTTCTCTCTTTCATACTTGTTGCTTATGGTTTGTTTTACCCTTTTTCACCGTGCTCATGTAACCCGTATGGTAATGTTTCTCAACTCTAATCCAAGGGATCCTGCAATGGTGCACATTCTTGCTTCACCCAGCATTCATTAATCGTAGATGTTTTCCTGTCTTGCTTTGCATTTTAGAAACTGCATTTCTGGACACTAATTTCAACTGTGGGAATTATATATTCATTTATTTTCAAAATAAATTGTTGATAACTTAAAACCCGAGTGGTCTTCAGAATCGGGATTGTTAAATACGTAATATGTAAATAAACACTGAAATCAAAGTTTGCTTTATTGAGCAGATTAAATACCAAGTGGTTTGTATCAGAATGTTGGCTCATTAGTCACTTCTCTCTGTTGCCAGCTTGAAAGATATACTCAAGATTTGCTTTCATCATAGTCTTATCCGTCACCCACAGGGCTAAAAGACAAACAATAGGAAGCCTTAAATAAATGCAGTACATTTATGAACTTCACTTTCAGTTTTAAGCAACATTGCAGGCTGGGTGAGCTGTTTTGATTAAGATTAAGAGAAAACACAATTAGGATTGTGAGAATACACACCTCAGGCTGCCCTTGGTTCTGTATTTGTAAGAGAGTCTTAAAGCAATAGAGGCACATAGACACCACTACAAACATAGTTTGGAGAACGCAAGTTGCAGAGGAACAAACAGGTTTGCTCTGTTGATAAATTTGCCTCATTATTTTGCCACAGATTTCCACAAGGTGGGTTTGCATAATTTTTCCAATTATTAGATTACATTTAACTGTATAAGGTGCTCACCCACCTTATACAGTTAAATGTAATCTAATAATTGAAAAAATTATGCAAACTCAAATGTACTGTATTTAGACATATCAAATCATGCGCTGTCTGAGCCCCTGTTTCAGTTTACTACTTTAATGGATTTGTGTAAACATGTATGACTTCTAGTTTTTATTCTTATCTAAAAGATTACGAGGAGGAATCCATATGGTCGTGGTAATTTTGTTTAAAATGTGCATACATTTTCTTATCGGTACTGTAATTCTGAAAGAAAATAGTGTGTTTTGTTTTTTTTGTGTGTGGTGATAAAAGTTTGTGGTAGCTTTACATTGCAGGTTAACAGGATTTACTGACGGTATACAGTACATGCCTTTTTAGCACAGACATGCAAAGTTTAACACACATTTTTGTGCATGTTTTAGTTTTGTCCTTTACTTACTGTCCTTTGGTTTGGCTGGCAAGACATTTTTCCATCTAATGCATTTCACATAAATCTTTTCCTTAAGTTTTTGTTGAGATTATATAGAGGTATCTTTTCAAATTTTGGATTGTTTCCTAGCTTGCTTTTTTGTCTCTTGGTTACGAAACTGTGGGGGAAATTGGTGGTAATGAGATTTAAGCCAATAATCATGTTGGAATGGAATAAAATGTTGTATTGAATAGAAGTTGATATTTCCTGGAATCAAATACCCAAGAGTTTCTGTGCGTATTAAAAAAAAAACTGCCTGAAAATGAACAAGAAAAGTGTATTTATCATGGTGTTGGTCATTGTTTTAACATCAGGAAATGATTATAACTGCATGTGGATGATAAAAAAAATGCTGTAATGTGTTGGCTACACAAATTCAAGCTTTCTGTGTATCTTTGCTCTCTGTGACGTCTGGTTCCTATCCTTTGATTTTTAGCTATCAAAGGATAGCTATCCTGTGAAAAGTAATTAAAGGATATTTTAAGTTTACATAACTTGATTTATGCTTTTAGAATCTTAAGAAAAGTTACAGATAAGAAGAATCCATTCAGACCATCTAGCTTGATCATTTACTAGTACCTAATTATGTGGAGGATCGCATGTGAAACTTTGATTTGTATGAATTTCATTTTTATACCAGGAGTGTAATACAGGATCTTCCAAGCTTTAAAATGAACTGCTTTGTGTACTAGATGTTGCATTTACCTGTTAAGAGCCATTTGCAAAGTTCAGAAGCACTCAGAGTATGGCATTTGATTTCTATGGCTTTTGCCAGTAGCCATAAACAAGGTACATATGCTAACAATTGTAGAGTACTTTTATAAAATATGTTTAGGTAGATTTTCAAAACCTCAGTTAAAAGACCAATACAACAGCCAATATTTAACTCAGAAGATACTGCATCTTTAAAATGTTTATTGTGGTTATTTTTGTTTTCTACTATATGTCTCTTTATTTTTTAAATGCTAAGAATAATATTCATACCTACTGTATCCATGCAACTGTGTATGTCAGGGCCCAAAACTGTCATTATAAAAATAGGATTAAGATTACAAATTGTTTACACAATTACAACCTAATGCATGATTGTAACACTTAATTTTTACCTGCCCTTAAATGACGGAATTGAAATATAACTTGCATGCAATTGTCTCTAGTGATTTGCTGCACAACAGGATTGTAAAATTAGAAGCTTAATTGCATGCAATTCAGGATTAAGAACTGCATGAAGGAATTGAAATGCTTACTAAAACGAAAGAATGCTAAATGGTTATTAACTCACGTTTTCTGCTTTGTTGATATAACTGATTCACACTCTGCATTCGTCAATAATTCTTTATTCTGCTGTCTCTGATTTGCTTGCCAGGAGGAGCTACTATTCTTACTCATATTACCTGTAAGTAGAAAACGGGAGCATGTCTCTTTTAAGTACTGTACGTTATTTTAAAGATGCAGTATCCTTTTTTCAAGTCAAAACACAAATCACTCAGACTAATTGCGTTATATCACTGAACAGATCAAACACTTGTTAGAATAAAATCAGAAATTTTGGCGTTAATGTTTGAAAAAAGAATGCTGCACTTTATTTGCCTGATTGTGTGTGTATGCAGGTAAAAGACTAATTTTTTGCTTTCACAAGTCAACATATGTGGGTGCATTATAGTGGAAGAATTAAAATTCAAAACTTAAAAAGACTGCAAGTTCTTATATGTTTTTTTCAAATTTTTTAGCCTAAATACTGTGATGTTTTTAACCCTTCTTTAGAAATACCTTTCATAAATGCAATAACTGGGTGATTGCAAGTATGCTTGGAGTATATACTGTATAGTTTTTCAAACTGGAGCTGTGTCCTCTTCTCCATGCTGCTCATTTTAAATATCTCACCACTGTTTCTAAGATTCTGGTTTTCTAAATATCAAAGAGATTTGATAGTGCTTGGGTTTTTTTTTAATATACTGTTTATAAAGTAAACATACAGATCATAACCACAACTTCTCTCTCAATTTTCCTGTTTGTGAGATGAACTGTAATAGGACTACATGCCAGCTGTAAAGATATTGAATTAAATTTCTTAGAAACAAATTCCCTGGGTACTCCACTTTCCTCCCACTTCCCAGAACAGTTGAAAACATCAACGTTCATGCCAACGATTCATGCAGTACTACAGTATATGTCTTAATATAGAATAACATTTCGTAATATACATAATATTTCATGAAGCCAGTTGTGTTTTATGAGATGCATTCAAACAATTATTCAGTTCTGAATTGAGAATTGGAAAATGAATCATTCTTGTTGAAATAAACATTCTTATGTATTTGTGGAGTTGACTTCAGTTTCCCCTTCTTTTAGTTAGAGCAGCAGTGCAGAGTTCTGGGTTCTGGACTCAGCTGGAAGGCTGGGGGTCCAGGTGCTGAGTCAGGCACTGCTATTGTACCTTTGAGTGAGGTTATGTACTTACTGTAGATGGCAGTGTCAGTGAAATAAATCAGGAAATCGGGTAAATAAAGAAGAAATTACTTCCACAGTTGAATTAAGGGGAAAGTTTAGAAAAGGAACACAGTGGAATACAACCAGTAGCAGGACCATATCCAGAGCAGGACAATAAGGGTCAAAAGAGAACCAAATTGGGGACCCCAGTCAACTAACATTTTTGGGAAGTGGGAGGAAAATGGAGAACCCAGAGAAAACCACCACAAACCTGGGTAGAACATGCAAACTCCACACATGATGCATCTCGGTCCATGTTTGATCCCAAGAGCTGTGTAGAAGCAGTCTGCTACCACACAATGAACATTTATTTCTTTGTCACTTTTCAAATTATGTATAAAATCACACGTGACATACGAAATGTATGAAATTGTATGGAAGACATAAGAAATGTATGAAATTTTATAGAACCAGTACATGCCATTTAAAATAATGGATTATTGAAGAGATAGCCTCTCAAACTAGAAAGGTTAGTCACTCATTCTAGTTCTAATTCAGTTCTTTGCTAGTAAAATATTTGTCAGCGCTTTAAACTGCTTACTTTATCAGTTGAATCTGCCTTACATACATTACTATTTCTTTCTGATTCTGCTTTTTAATTTTCTGGTAAATTAAGAGAGCAGATTGATTTTTAACTGACATTTTATGGGGCCAATATAAAAATTTAAATAATTTAGGAATTTTAAGAAAAAAATATGTTTTTGAATTGTAATTAAATGGGTCTATTTCTACTTTAATACAGTAATGCTTCTTTATTGTTAATCTAAATTTCCAGATGGAAAAGCAGAATTTCCTGCATCCAGCAGATAATTGGTTTTGTAATATAGGATGAAATTAAGCTGTTTTGCTTCATTTCCTGTTGAACATCCATCTAGCTGCTTTTTAATGCAGAGAAGAGTATTTTACAATATTTTCACCTCATTATTACGACTATTGAATACATTTTTATATACCATGCTGTATTCATGCTAATGGTCTGATATTTATAAAAGTCTTAATACAGAAAAATCCACAAACTTGATTTAACTTTAAGTGAATTTAAACATCTATGTTACAATATCACAGGCCTCCACAGTATTTAGAATGTTGTGCATTTAGACAGAGCCCTGACTAATCTTTGGTAGGAACTGACATGTCACTTGCATGTTGAGGGTAGTGCCTTTTTTCTTAGATTTTTTTTGATTGATGAAAGTGTTGATGAGAACTCTACTCATCATGATACTATTTAGATACATTACACATTAAAGTGTAATTAGATATGCTGGATGAATAGTTATATCCACTTAAGGACTTTAAAGTCATTAGAGACACATGTTCTCCAAAATACTTCAATTAAAAAGGCTACAAAATAGTCCTGAAACCAATTTATTTTATTAAACTAAATCTATATACATTATATTTTAAATATCCAGTTGCACAGTGTTAAGTCCTGCTCCTGAATGTGTTATACAATTTACTTTTTATGAAGTATTAGGTATCTAGTTTCTTTCAGAACTAGCTTCATCTGAGTGAATGGGAACAGCAGCATTGTTACAGGAAATGAGGCCTTGTGGTTTTGAAGTTTGGATTAAGCAAACAAAAGAGTTTGCTTTCAAAGCAGGTTATTGTGTGAGCCCTTGAGGCTGAATGTACTGCTGAAATTACAGCTGTCTCTTAGCAAAATCAAAGTTTCATACATGTGTCTATGTGATATCATTTGATATCAGTTACTTTTCATAGCTGGTGTGAAATAGTTTACTAAACAAAAAAAAGAATCATTTTATTTTCTTTAATTGATTGCAAAGTGCATGTGAAAGTGTGTCACAACTTTGTACTGAATCTGCTTTTATAAATTGTAGGAAACTTGCCAAGAAGAGAAAGGATGCCATCGGCAACACACGCCAGGAGATGACACATATGGTCAATGCGATGGACAGGAGTTATGCTGACCAGAGTACACTTCATGCAGAGGATCCCTTGTCTGTCACCTTCATGGACTCACATAACTTCAGCAATAGGTGTAAGTATCAGGAAAGTTCAAATCCATAATACACTTGACATTAGATACTTGTGAGAAAGCATACTGTGGTGTATTTGTACCAAACAGTGGGCAGACACTCAGCCTCAAGAGACATGTTCTTAATGCAAATGCCTTAAGCAGAGGTTTTAACTTGCAGTTGGGTATTTCCCCCCCATTATATATGGATAATGTTTCAGATGATTTAATTACAGTCTATAGTGTATTATGATGTTGTCACGTGAGGTACTGTTTATATATGAGAACTATCAAAGGAGTCAAAGTAAAAAAGGTGTAATTCTGTGAAATGTGTTTCTGCAAGAATTACTTGGTTCTTATCCATAATGTATTCAACAGAAATTAGTCTTTGTTCAGTGTAAAACAATAAATATTCAATTGCTATGCTTTGTCATAATACTGTTTTGTCCATGCTTCTTTGGAAATCAGTAGTTGTCTGGTAAAGTAATGTTATGAGTGTGCAGGTTATGGGACTGTAAAACTAAGCACTTTGGAACATATATCACAAACCCACACAATGCATCTTGAACGAAAGGCAGCTGAAAAATTTCACAGAATTCAAACCTTAAATACTAAAAGATAGAAATCACATGATTCTGCCTAGTTCCTTTGGTTTGTTGACAGTTTTTTAAGCCATTTCTCATTCATTTCATAATCATAGTTTACAGCAATGGAAGCCAATTAGATCATTGAGATGATGCATACAAAGTATAGCAAGATGTATAAATGTTGAATTAAATATTGTAAATAAAGTAGAATGAAACTTAGATATTGGTAATATGTTCTGAGTAGTTGCTTCAGGATGTAAAAGTAACAGTTTTTGTCATTTTCCTTTGAAAACTCCTTATCTGTCTTCAGTGCTAGAAAATTGGCTTAATTTTGCCCGAAACTCTTTAGCGTGTGCTTGACTGTTCTTCAAGACACAGAAGGTAAACTGCTTTCTTCATGAGCTTTATTTTCCCACAGTGCCCAATGATCCACTTGTGCCGACTGCTGTGCTAGGTGAGGACCTAGTCCTTTGTCATCAGTCCGTGCATGGCTTGTGTTTGGTTGTGTGCAAGTTTGTTTCACAAAATGTCACTTTGTTGCAGTAGTAGAGAGAATGGAGTGGAAGAGCTGTCTTTTCTGCATACTATTATGAACAGAGGTATTTTCACACCGTAATGTGAACAAATTGACTGTACTATTTTCAGAGAGAAATTTTAATTTTATTCCAAAAGTATCCATAATAGGAGATTCCAGATCTCTTTTTCCAAAACTGGAGCACTGTCATTTCCCCTGTAAGACAGTGACCAGAGACTTTTGGAACAGATCCAAGTGAATTTTGCTATTAGACTGAAACCCTTTAAATGCATCTAGGCCAGAAACATATTTAAAACAGACATGTTGAAAATATTTACCTTTATTTACATTTTCAAATTTCTGTTGGAAATATATATTTTTAATGGAAGTAGTTTAAAATAAAAATTCACAGCAATTTTCACAGAGATTAAATCTGAGCTGTATTATATTATGAAAGAAATGTAGTTATATTTTCAAGTAGGTTTAGTGTGTTCTATGTTTCTACTTTTACTATTTTTCCTATTTAAAAATGTTAATGTTAAAAGTCCAAGATCTTAATGTTTTTAAACATGTATTTAGTCAGTCTCTGTGAACAGCCACTTACAGAACAGAAAAGAAGTACATAAGAATGTTTACAAACCATATAAGATTTGACCCATTTAGATTTTTAGTAGCTGATCTGAGAATCTCATCCAACCTCTTATTGAAAGAAACCTGTTTAAACAACATGGCTAGGCAGCTTGTTCAACACACCCACATTTCTTTTCATAAAGATTTACCTCCTGTTCCAAGTTTTAAATTCATTTCCCTGTAGTTTCCACTTGTATCATCTCGTTCCTATTTCAGTGTTGATTTTAAAGAAGCCCATTGGGTTTGAGGGTATTGAATAATTGAATCTTATCTCCTCATAGTATTCTCAGTTTAGGACTCTGAGTTTTTTTTATGTTTTAAGGAATGTATAAAACTCCTTTGAGAATGCAGCAACTCTTCTCTGGATTGATTCCAACACAGCAATATCTTGTGTGCCATGATGACCAAAACATTACACAGTATGAATGACTAATAGAATCCTGCTGCTTATTTACATATCAGCTTATTTACACATCATATTTACATTTTTGTTAATTTCTACATGAAGAATAAGGATATATTGGTGTTAAAAGACTCTCAGGGGCTACATTTTTTGTAAAATATTCTTATACATATTATTATGGTAATTTGTAAATTGAATTTCGTAGGAGTAATTAAGATAAAATAATATGTCTGTATAGTGAGTACAGACATCTGAAGAAAAATGTATGAAAAGGTACATTTTTAACTTTTTGCAATAATTTTAACTTGGTAAAAGGATTAGATTTAAACTTCTTACTCTACGTTTTTTGGACTCATCATGAAACTGAAGTGTAGGAAGAGCTTCATTCAGTTAGTGCAAAGTGTAGGTTTTGGCATTGATTTGACTATTGATTTGGGCAGTCAAGCAATGTAACTGCAAAACACTAGGAAAATAAAAATAAGTGTGGTGCCCTCATTTTAATTTTACTAACTGTTGTGAAACTGTTTGAATTTATGAACTGTGTTACATCTGTCTTTGTTATGGTATAAATGTAAATGCAGTGAAACAAGAGGTTGATTCTTTAAAGTTTTGTTCATTTTAAAATACATGTGCGGCACTCACACATTTCATTTAAATGTTAAGTAATTGCCGTTATCTGCTAATCCATCTCATAATCATTCTTAGTAACAGTAAAAGGAATGTAAAATATCTTAACTTCTGCCTACAATTGTTCTGTTTCCTTTGCTGCCTCGTTTGTAAAAGTGCCGATAACTGGTAAGTCTGCTTTATAGACATAAATGAATCCTTGTTTTGTTTTTGTTCTTTTAATGTCTGGGAAATAGCTGCATAGTGCTTAACATTGCAATTGCACTTTCTGTTCCAGAAACTGACTTTGTGAGTTATATGAGGGATAAATGACTCTGCTATAACTCATAGATAATCTATTTTGTGTTCAGCTGCACAAAAAATCTTCCTTATGTCTTGGATTTCATATGCATGTATAAACATTTTTTATGGATTTCATGAATCCATTCAGGCATGGGTCACTTGGGCATAGGAGTGAATTGTTCACTCTTTCCTGTAGTAAATGCCATTTAGTAAAAGTAGTGATCTGATATGCATCAGAAAGTACAGTCACTTAGTAAAGAAAGGAAACTATAAACTGCATGACTCATGGAGATAACACCGTTTTCTGTAGGCCAAAATGGTGAGGAGGCTTAAGTTCTTAAGTGACTCAAATGTATTCCATCTTCCAGTCTTTCAGTGTTTTGTTGAGGAGAACTTCACTTGAAGAGCATTTTTTTAGATAAGACATTAAAGGCCCCATATGTTTCTTATTAGATAGGTATTGTAGCTCGCCTAGGATAATCACTGTTCTTATTCCAACCTAAGAAATGAGTCTGTTCAGAGAAAACTACTCTTGGCAAGATGTTTTGTGTCTTTGTCTTTAAAACAATAAAGACACACAATGACGACATTCCTTTGCTCCAGGTGTAAGTGTCAGTATTTTTGTGATGACTCAGCCAATGTCCTCTTTGTAGAGTTAGCTAGAGTTACATCTGCTAAATAAAGGCTGCTTCCTGCAAGAAATCTGATTACTTGAGTAGTTTTATCTCATTCAGTTCTTAATTATGCAAGTAGTATACACTTTATTTAAAGTAAATTCTAAAACTTTAGAAAGTGTTCTTTACTAATGATGTAAAACAGCTTTAGAATTGTTTTTACTTATTACTGGTAAACATGAAATTCTTATTAGTGCCTATCAGTTCTCTTCAGTTCTGAGATTATGAAGTGGAATTTAATTTTAGGTGTTTATTTTAAGGGAAGAACTCTTAGATTATCTACTTGCAGCTTTCTTTGGCTGGAGGGTTTCTTTTTAAGAATTTTTGGAAGAATGCCTAATGTAAATAAAAAATAATCCTGAATTCTATTAGTACTTTATGCATAGTTAGGTCTATTATTACAGTAGTTCTCCATGTATTAAAAGGTTAACAGGTCTATTAAGTTTCATTGTACACTGTAGTAGACTTGAGGTGAAACCTTTTCATTTGTATTGGGGACACATTGGGAACCACCTGCAGTCCCTGGACCCTATTATTATGATTAAATATAGAAATATTTCATGTTTCCCCAGTGAAAATTAAAGTGGGAAGAAAATGTTAGTGAATTAATAGGAAGCTCTGCTGGGAAACAGGTTTCAGATGCGTTTATACAGTTTTTCTTGTTTTGCATGATTTTTCTCGATCATAGCAGTTTAAGGTGTGCAGTTACTCTGGGAGAAATTGCACGTGGAGGTTTTTAAGGAAGGTTATTTACATGTACACTAAACAAGCAGCTCATTGCTACTGAAACTGTTCCTTGTATTATTGTAGCATACCTTTCCCCAAATGACTAAAAAGTGCTTAAGACATAGGAGGGAACCACCTCATTTACTATTGAACTGCATCATCTACCATTATGTTCCACTAGCCCTGTGACACAACACGCCAGGTGGAAAAAGTGAAAAAGTACTTCATTAAAGGGGAAATATACAGTAGGTAGACCAGATTGAGAAAGCTCAAAGTAGAATGTTTCCAGGTCTCCAAGGTTATGTCCTACTGTCAAGAACTGTATTTTACAAAATCAGGCTTGAAGGTGGTATTTCAGCTGTAAGAGTAGTTTCCTATGTAGACATTGCAAAATAAAGATGCCATTCAGCCCATCTTCCTTGTTTGGTTGCTAGTTAACCAATAAATGTCCTCAGTTAGACTTCAAATTGTACTCTGTGGTACAGATATTGCTAATATGAGGCTTGGTGATATCACTAGCAAACTGTGTGCAAGACACCCCAAGTTGCAGAATATAACTTGCCGAGCATTATTGGGGTAGATGTTGGATTAGTTACCATGGATCCTTTTGGCTCTTGCTGCAATAGTGATTCCTTGCCTTACTTGGAGAATGCAGGTTCGCAGTGATGCCAGTAAGAGAAAAAGTGCTTCTTCAATCAATGCAAGCTGTCTTGTCAGTCTCTTTGAAATTTTCAACATATCAAGCAATAAATGGCTCTAATGGCCTATGCATACTCCCTCTCTTCTGCACAAAAAAGAATAGCTTGCTGCAGAGCACAATCTCAGACCATTTGGTGATTCCTTATGCAGAATACATGTAAAATACAAAATAGTCAATTTCATTTTTTTAAATACACTTCGATTTGTGGAAATGGCATGAATGCATATAGACTTATAAGTGTTTACAAGGTTTATATTTAACTTGTTTAATTTTTTATGTATGAGAAGTTCCCAGTGTATTTCCTTTCAAGGCAGTATGATATCTGTTCACATTATTTTTATGTCATGTAGAATTCCATAGTCTTGCCAGCTTCACATATTCATCATTGATTGTGTTGACTGTAACCAGATGTCAGCATGTTGTTGTTACGGGGCAAATGCACTAAAAATGGAAGAGATCAAAACAAGTGTATCTCAAAAGCTGTTAAACTTTAAGGTAGTTATAAGTTTTCTAAATTATCTTTGAATATTTGTGGTTTGCTAATGTCATGCAGCAGAAAGGTATTCAATTGAATAATATAAGTATTTTAAAAACACATTTCCCAATGAGAAAACAGTTCGTGTTTTCTAGTAAATTCACTAATTTAAGATGCAGGTTGGCTGTTTTTAAAACTGCAATTACTGTATATAGAGAACATACTGAATTTGTTTTTTTTTGCTCACAAATATTTGACAGACCTGCCTGATAGATTTATCTGCATTATTACTTTATGCTGCATTATTACTATTTTTATACTAGTAGTGTTGGTAACAGTAGTTAGGATAATACTAGAAATAATCAATTTGTCCGTTGGTATAGTTTCTCATTTGAGGATTGCTATGAATAAAGAAGAAAAGAAAAAGGCTTTATAACAATGGTGGGGGAACATCTGAGGAAAATGAATACAAATATTTTGCCCTTGGTATTTATGTGATTTTTTTCCTTGTTGTAGATGAAAACCACACTGCAGCAGCAGAGTCCAGTAGGTTGCTGGATGTGCCCCGCTATCACTGCGAAGGGACAGAGTCACCTTATCAGACAGGACAGCTACATCCGGCCATCAGGGTGGCTGATTTGCTACAGCACATTAATTTGATGAAGACATCTGACAGCTATGGATTCAAAGAAGAATACGAGGTTAGTTCTGGAATCATACCCAGATTTTAGGAACTATTTCTTGTTCTTATCTCTTATTTCCCACTGTTATTATAATCAACTAGGACATGTTTCTGTCTTGACAGAATATCATGAAGCTTAAAATAAATCAATTTGACAACTTTTTGTTTAAATTTCTATCGGAGTTTTGAATTTTCCTTTCAATTTCAATGCAGCAATAGTATAGAGTTTGTGAATGTTGTGAAGCCGAAATATTTTTCCAGTATGCTTTTCTCAGACTCCATGGGATGCACTGGACAATGATTCTTTTTATTCATACATCTGCTCAGAAGCATTAAGCCTGCAACAAATGTTTTCAATATTCATTTGTTTTGATTTTTAGCTCTTAATATCGATAGTACACTTTTGAATGTTTAGATTTATTTGATTCCAAGTAAGGTTAAGCCATTGAATAAGCGGGCACATTTCTTGTAATGAAAGTTAGTTTCCATTCAACACATGGTAATCAGTGTTTTTCTTGTGGATTAGCACCGCAACTCAAGTCATACAAGTGTAAATGGGTGCATTTCCTGTAAGCAGGCTCTCTGTGTGCAGCAACTGCAAAGATAGCTCTAGCACGTGATAACCCTCTCAATTTAAATACATCTGCTTTTCTCCGTTTTTTTTTAATTTAATGCTCACCATGCAAATTGACCATAATTCCCATTTTACAGTGTCTCTCTTTACAAATGTCATACATATATATACTTGCTGTTGCAGCAGTATACTGAGCATCAGATGAAGATTATCCCTTTATGCATTTTTGTTCTTAGAAAGTATAGTGATTTGTGATCCTGATTAAATGTTTCAGGTGGGTAGCTGTGTCAGCATGCGTAGTCTGCAAAGGAACAATAGGTTTATTGTTAGGTTTATTGCCTCATACCTGAAGAAGGATCCATGGCCAAAACATTGTGTTTTCTTTCTTCTCTTTTCAGCATGGAATAAATGAATTAAATGTGTTTGGTGTCATTTTGATTGATTAATCATTAATAGCTAACTAAGTTACACCCAAGTGACATTGACTGTTAGAACTTTAGAAAAGTTACAAATGACATCTCACCTGTTTGGTAGTTAGTAGATAATTGATTCTAAGATATCACCCAGACATTGCCTGAAAGGAGCCAGAGTATGAATTCAACAACATGGCTGGGATGCTCATTCAATAATCATACAGACCTCTGGGTAAAAAAAGTGCCTCCTTCTCTCATTTTTACTTGTACTTCTACATAGTTTCCTCTTTTCCTCTGGTTCACGTTTGCGTTCATTTTGAAGAAGTCTCCTGGGTTATCTTTGTGAGTAACTTTGAGGATTTTACATGCTTGCAGTAGGTTCCCTCATAACCATCTCTGTTCAAGACTAAAAAGGTTCAGTTCCTTCAGCCTGTCAGTGTAGAATATTCCAATATGCATGTGTAATAAGCACAAAATTACCTAATTAAAGAAAGAGTTCATTCAGCACAGGTGATGAGGCTATTTAATCTGTAAAAAGTCAGTTCTGGTTAAAATAAAGAAAATGGAACACATGAAATGAATGTGCCCCACTTATCAGGAGAACAACATCACTGTGTCATTAATATGTTGGAGACTGCACAAATCATCTCAGAAGTACATCTGTGCAGAAGTGCAGAATGATAAGTTAATTGTTGTGTAAAACAGGCCATCTAATAAGAGAAAGTGCAGTGTAATCATCTAAGCAGGTTGCTGCAAATCTCCACTTGTAATGATTGTTGGCTACTTGACTGCATGGCACTACATTGATCAATTGTTGGATCAGCGCTTCTCATTGAGCAGCTTTCCAGGAGGACAATACAAACTATTTGTGTAACTGGCTTTCTTGTGAGATCAGAATGTGATGGTTGTGTTATGAATGCCCTACTTATCAGACGTGATCCCCATTGAATTTGTGGGATGAGTTTGAGCAGCATGTGAAGTCTACAACTTGGAGACCAATGAACAGGCATGTGTTTGTTCAAGCTTTCTCAGGAAGAATAGGACAAAATCAAACAAAAAGCAAGCCAGGACACACCCTGAATGAGACACCAGTTCCTTCCAGACTAGTCAGGAAACATAATGACCTGGACATCAACACCTCTCTATGCAGGTGGATTATGGATTTCCTGACAGGCAGACCACAGACTGTGAGGCTAGATGGAAAACTTTCTTCCATGCTGACCATCAATTTAGGTGCCCCTCAGGACTGTGTGCTTAGCCCCTTGCTGTTCTCCTTGTTTACCCACAATCGTATGGCCAGACACAGATCCAATCCCATCTACAAATATGCTGATGACCATCATTGGCCGGATCACTGCTAATAATGAGACAGTCTACACTGATGACTTCAGGAACCTGGTGGAGTGGTCATCGGTTTTAGAAAGCAGGCTGGGGACCACACCCCTGTTCACATCAATGGGGTGGCTGTTGAGATGGTGAGCAGCTTCAAGTTCCTGGGTACCTTCATTGCTAATGATATAACGTGGTCCCAGCATGTAACTGGAGCTACAAAGAAGGCACAACAGCGCCTTTACTTCCTTGGACAGTTACACAAATTTGGTCTTTCAACTGTCCTTACCACATTTTGCAAGTGCGCTATTGAGAGTGTGCACACTTGTGGTATTACAGTGTGGTTTGGCAGCAGCTGGTTGTCTGACCAGAAGGCGTTACAAGGGGTGATCAAGTCAGCCCAGTCTATCATTGGAGTACAGCTCCCCTCTCTTTCAGACATTTTTGAAACTCGCTGTCTCAGGAGGGAGTGGGATTGCCTTTTAACTGATATTTAACAAAGTGTGCCTGAAGTATATCTCTTTTAACCAAAGCTATTCCAGAGAACAAAGAATTCACATGCCTCTAACTACACCATCCACTACATTCTTGGCAAAATTATTTACAAGTTGGGGGTTATGATTATTTAATTTACATATTGATTTATCCACCTTTCATTTCTTGATTTTGTAACCTCCTATTTGTCACGGTAACAGTTACTATATGTTCAACGTATGGTACAAACAATTTTGTACGTTGCAAACAATGTATAACTGGAAATACATTATGTGCTCAACACTGATTGTGTCCGATTATAATTTATTAAGTTTGGCTAAACTATTTATTAAGTTTCGATGGGAGAATTCCATGGAAAACCAATTTGTAGCTGTAAATGGTAGTGGTGGACCAGTAGGGAGCTTCCTTCCTTCATTACAAGTTTTCAAACCAATTCTCCAGTAAGGTAACTGATGAGTGAGAACACTGTGCAGTAGGGAATGCTGGTCTTTGTCAGTTTAAAATATTAAACTGAGATCATGGAAACGTGGCCATTAAAGATCATATAATGCTGATAATCTATAAGGATATCAGTCATCCTGTTTTCTCATTCTTCTCCCCCAAATTTGTGAATTTGCTTTTGTGATGAATTTCTCTTGATACTTTGTACTGCTTTTCTTTGGTTGAAGATCACTTTCCCTCATGGACATACAGTAGTACTGTAAGTGTAATGCAAACAAATGAAACACTTGATAGACAACGGATGAATAAAGTTTAGCAACTTTTGTGCCTAAGTGTGTTAAAGGTTGGTTTTTTGTTGTCCACTAGCAGACAAGCTGAAATAATCTCCCACAAAAAGAGTTGATATTCTGTTTGCCATTAAATATCAGCACTGTTTAAGTACTGTGCCCTTCCTCCTGAAACACATTTTGTGTTTGAAGTTGACCGGCCCATGTTCAGGCACTGCTCTCTTTGAAAGAGATTGATGTGCACTCCTTGTTTATTCGACGTGACATTTTAGACAACATTTTACTGTCAAATGCTGAGTTATCATCATGGTGCACTTTTTAAAAACCAACTGCCTTAGTCCAAACCACAAGAAACAGGCCCACAGCATAATGCTATGACCTCTATAATGAATAGCTAGCGGTGCGGAGTTTGAAGTTTTCTCTGAGGTCCATTCTTAGGAAGGTGTGTAATTGATTTTATTCAGTGGGCTTACCTGCCTTTCCTGAATTGTTAGATCATCTTTGATTTTTTTTGCAAATGTGTTCATTTTTTTCTACAAATATTTTCCCATTTCCAAATTGAGATTTTGTTTCCACTTTTTATGCCTATAAATGTATATGCTATCACATTCAAATGTATAGCTCTAAGGAACAATAGTACAGTATTACAGAAAACGTTGATAAAAATATGAAGGCAGTTTTGCTTCAGAAGAAGGCCATGCCTCCCAAATTAAATAATCAAGAGCAGCTCATTCCTCAATCATTGATTTTTAAAATGAAAAACACAGCAGATCTATTTAGTAACTGAAAGTCCTTAGATAGATGTAAAACATTTCTTCTTATTCTTTACTGCACAATTACATTTCTTTTATGCATGTTATATAGCAAAAACAGAATCACAATTTGTAATGCTTTTTGGAATTAAGAAAAATGAGTATATCAACATGATGGTTTCTTTGTCATGTAGAGTTTCTTTGAAGGCCAGTCTGCTTCATGGGATGTAGCGAAAAAGGAACAAAACAGAACTAAAAACCGTTATGGAAACATTATCGCATGTAAGTCTGATATAAATCTCTGTGTTTTGATATCATAATTTAAGTAGTTTCTAAGACTACTTTTTTTTTCCCCAGGTCTTCTGATGATCTAATATATATATATAGTATGTCTGAGAAAGCTGCTTTTTTTATTCCCCACATAATAAATGCTAAATACTGTACATGAAAGAGTCCATACATATAATTAATCACTGGACTCTTTTTATAGTATAAATTATCAGCAGTAGAGTTAGTAAAAATATTTACCAATTGCACTAAGTAATGATGAGATGTAAATACACAGAATTTGTATATGTTTTATACACTCACAAGCTTCTCTGTTTTCAGATGATCACTCTAGAGTTATCTTGCAACCAATGGAAGATGATCCTTCCTCTGATTACATTAATGCCAATTACATTGATGTAAGTTTTGAGTTTTTTTAATTCTGTTAGAATATCTTTTCTTCTGTATGTGATACTTTTTGCATGGTTTGTCTAAAATATAAATACTGCTTCTTTTTTTCCTTGTTCAAAGTGCTTGTACTCACTGACATTGTTGTGCTTTCTTTCACACTGGCTTTGATTTGGGCTGTAGATATGGCTGTACAGGGATGTAAGTATCACTGCAGGAGAACAACTACATATCACTTTATTGTGAAGTTTGTTTTTCTGCTAACATCACACTGTGCATGATATTTTTCCTTCCATTGTTCTTTACATATGCTTTTAACATTTCAGTTATTTAATGCTTGTGCACATTGTCAACCTGTTGCGCTGTTTTGTGAAGTAAAATTTTTAATGTAAAAGTTTTTTTCCTTCCCTAAAGGTGAGAAATAAAAATACAGTTAGAAAGATACCTTACAAAGGAATTGTATTCTGTTTTTTTCAATGCCTAGCGTTGTAATTTAAAGATGACAAAATCACCTTCACAATCCTATGTCATTATAAATAGGATTTTTTAATAAAATGAAGGTAGTGAACAAATAAAGGAAATACCAATGTAAAGACGCTTAATAGCCAGTATGGCTTGTATGAGCCATGACCTAGAGTCTACCAGTGTCCGGAATACTGCAGCAGGGATATACTGTAGCACCATCCTTCCACAAGAAAGACAAATTAACACACTTCTTGTTGATGAAGATAAAAAACACCATATCAGGCATAGCTCCAGAATATCCCAAAAATTATCAATCAAGTAAAAATGTGGAGATTGGGTAGGTTATGACATGGAAAACACAACTGTCATTCTTATCAAACTATTGGACAATCATTCTCTCTCAAATCTGTTTGGTGCCGCACTTACTTCTGTTTGTCAGACACATGGTGAAGAATGATTCATCTGACCATATCATATTTCTTCAATGCTCTTTTTTTATTTTATTCTATTATAGTTATTAAACTGGCTGTTCACTCCCCTGGTTAAAATTTGATCAGCAGTTGGGCACCTAGTTTGCCTCACACTTTGAATTAATGCAGAGATATCACAATCCTCGAGTATGGACTTCTGCTCCACTATTGCTCTTAGCTGCTATCTTTCCCTCAGAGTTGCTGACGTCATCTTAGGCGATGTAAAACATCAGCAAGTTGAGCTGTCCTTGTCACTGAAGCTCCTGTCAAACTCACCCCAACTATCACTCCTCTTTCAAAGGCAATAAACTCTGTTCTTGCTACCATGCTATCTCTTAAGTATATGCAACCATTCCTGTCCAACATGTTTATATATTGCTAAGCATGCTGGGATGTTATATGCTTTATTAGTGCATGAACCACTCCTGTGGAGATGCCCTTGCTTTCAGTGTACGTGGTGTCCTTCATTTACCCAGAAGTTTCCATTTTTGCCAACTATCTGCAGTATGTTTTTTTTTTTCAAATAATAAATTACTACTTAGCACTGGGTTAGGTAAGCCAGCACTTTAGTTTATGTAAAACTGTGATTTGTACTGTGTGCAGAATATTGTGCAAAACATCTCAGACTGTTAGAGTTGTATTAGACTAAAACCTTTTTGTTCTTGCTATATATTTCATCAAATACTTGTTTTCATGAAAATCATACCTGTAGTATTCTTAGCAGGTATTGAAGCTTTCTGTCATCTGCAAGTCTCCTTTGTCTTTTGTTCTGTTGTGCATACAAATCAATGTACCAAGTAACACTTGTATTTTATTTTCTCTAGGGATATCAGAGACCCAGTCATTACATTGCTACTCAAGGTAAGAAATGTCATCAGTTATATTCCATTTTTATTATAATGTTTAATACTCAATTGTGTTTGTTCTTAAATAAAAAGCTTAAACAGGGGGGCAGGAAATTATCAAACATCTGTGAGAACAGAATGAAACCTTACCCCCTTCTTTAACGGCTCTCAGTGCAGACGGCTTTTCCCCTGCTTTATATGGACTCTTTACTGCACTGACAGGAAAGAACCATGGCTATCTGCAGCTCCCGACTGTATGTTTACATAAAACTGAAATTATCAGCTTAAACCTTGCAAAAGCTAAGTTAAAACTACTTTGATGTCGTAGTTAAGTTTTGCACTTTGTTTCAAAGTGTTCAGCTTTAAACCACATTGGGTTATTTCAGCCGTTTCTTAGAATATTCCAGGATGATTGTATTTTGACTCTTGCTTACCTCTCCTCATTTAGGTCCAGTTCATGAAACAGTTTATGATTTTTGGAGGATGATCTGGCAAGAGCAATCTGCTTGTATAGTAATGGTTACTAATCTGGTTGAAGTTGGACGGGTAGGTTACTTTGACCTTTTCTAAACATTTCTAACACTAAAATGCAAGTGATAAGTACTTTACATATCTGCATTTTTTTTTTACAAATCAGTCAGAAAAATGTTCAAATGCAAGCGCGTAATTCATTATCCATAATATAAGTTGCATATATATAACATAATAAAAGTCACATTTAAATATTAAACCCGCTTTAAAATAAGCAATGTTTTATCTTTTTAGGTGAAATGCTACAAGTACTGGCCAGATGATGCTGAGGTTTATGGAGATTTCAAAGTAACATTTGTGGAAGTGGAGCCTCTTGCAGAATATGTTGTGAGAACATTCACATTAGAGAGGGTAAGAACAGAACATTGTCCCTTTGGTCTATTATATAACCTTACTGTATATATTATACAGATTATCTATTGTAACCTGAATCAGAAAATGATGATGATGAAAATCGTCATCATCATTACGGTTAAGATGATCGGCATTAAGCAAGGGACATCCTTTTTTATCATCCTCCAGAACTGTCGAGCTAAACCTAAAGTTCACTAAAATTAACCACCTCACCTTTTCTGAATGCTTTGTTTAGACAATAGTGTCCTTTGCGTGCTCTTAATTGTTTGGATGTCCAGTAATGCAATGACTTGAACATGACCTTTCGTCTTGCTTTGTGATTTTCAGAGAGGTTTCAATGAACTGCGTGAGGTAAAGCAGTTCCATTTCACCGGCTGGCCTGACCACGGTGTTCCCTATCATGCGACCGGCCTGCTTTCTTTCATACGACGTGTGAAAATGTCAAACCCACCTAGCGCAGGGCCCATTGTTGTTCACTGCAGGTAATGCAGGTGGTTCTGTCTTACTCAGACAGGGGAATGAAAAGTAACATCTAGTGTAAGATGCAACAAAGTCCCATACATGAATTTAAATGCATTGAAAGTGTCTTTTTTTTCTGCTACTTTGCAGCTGTTTACATGCACGACAAGTATACAAAGACAATACATGATAAGTAAAGTGTTCGGTTCAATGTAATTGCTTCAAAAGCAGCAATACTCACGCTTTAAGAGCCTTTAGCAGGATGTGGTTATCTCTATGGTTTTGTGCAGATGTTCTTTTTTCTTAATTTAAGGTGTGTAATGCTAATTCAAGTTTTGTATGGTGTTCAAATTATCTGATGTTGTGTAATATAAACTCTCACTTCACAGTGCTGGAGCAGGACGGACTGGCTGTTACATTGTCATCGATATCATGCTGGATATGGCTGAAAGAGAGGGAGTCGTGGACATTTATAACTGTGTGAAAGCCCTGCGTTCCCGCCGTATAAACATGGTTCAGACTGAGGTAGATTTAACTTTCAAATATAAAGATAACTAATAAATTAATTATGTTACATAATTAAGTCACCTCTGTTATATGCGACTATAATTGTTTTTTTTTGCAAAGGAACAATACATTTTTATCCATGACGCAATTCTGGAAGCATGCCTGTGTGGAGAGACAGCCATACCTGCATGTGAATTCAAAGCAACGTACTATGACATGATTAGAATAGACTCCCAGAGTAACTCTTCCCACCTTAAAGATGAATTCCAGGTAAGCATGCAATTATAGGAATAGTCTTTTTTTCCCAGTAATGAATATTAATTAATAAATTGCTGTCTTATACTGCTGTGTCCAGCAAAAATAACTTAGGAAAATAAAATCTCAAGAATATGAATAGGCATTAGTACACATTTCCATTGCTTTAATGAAATAAAAGGTGTTTTCAGTACATCATTATTATTATTTTAAATGGTCACCTTTCTGATTTTTTGCCACAATAATTTGGGATCCCCAATTAAAAGAAAACTATTATTGCGAATGAATTTTGTCTATGGCTTCTGTTGTACAGACACTGAATTCTGTGACTCCTCAACCCCAGCCTGAGGACTGCAGCATTGCTCTTTTGCCCAGAAATCATGAGAAGAACCGTTTTATGGACATGCTGCCTCCAGACAGATGTCTTCCTTTCCTTATTACTATTGATGGGGAGAGCAGTAACTACATTAATGCTGCTCTGATGGATGTAAGTGTTTTTTTTCTGTACAATCAGATTTTTCAGACTGTATCTTCTATATAATTACAAAAAAGAAAGCAAGAGACAAATCCAGGTATTTATATTATATATATTTATTTTCAGTTGTTTTTATTACATAGAATTTTTGTTGGACTTCTTAGTTGCATTCTGGCACACATTGATTTGCTCATGTTTACTAGTTTTAGCTGTAGTAGTGATTTTATACATTAGTCTAATAACAAATAATTGCTTGAATAATCAAAACATTTCTTCATTTCTAATACTTTTTTTATTCATTTGTAACCATTAAATTAAAAAACATGCAGACATTCTTCAAGATGGCTTCTCATGTGATCCTAAATTGAATTTTCATATTTTGCATTATTTGGGTTGTCAAAAAATATGAAAGTCCAAATAACATTATTAGGTTTTAGTTATATGACAGAGGTAAGTGTTATATTAGTGTCCCATGTTTATACATTGCTGCATATTTTCACTTTAAAATGAAGACAACGTATCAGTGTATAAGCACAATGCCAATTGATAAAATAGTATTCGAATTATAAATACTTTTTTTGTTCTTCTTTGGTAACAAGCTTTAAATTGAGGAAATTCCAAATCACATGAATAAACGCAGAAAATTACAAAAGGACACTTCCTGTTAGTTCACCGATGCCCGATAGTTCTTAGTTAATGTGCAGCTGTCAACATACCAACAACCCAGTAAAAAGTCATCAATGCTCTGGGAGTCTCCACCTACAAATTCAAAAATCTTCATATAATTTTGAGAATTGTAACAGTGTTCGTACAATCTCTGAAATCAGTATAGGATTCTACCTGGCATGTCATGTTACTAACAATTAGGAGAGCTGTATCAAGACATTACAAGACTGGTCTGGATAAATTTACTTTGATCAGTTAGCTACTACATAACAAACAAGCTCTCTGGGCTGAATAGCCGCTTGTTTGTTATCTGTTTCCCCAATCATTTTTGACCTAAGGTGAGTTGGTATATTCCATTGCTAAGCATAAGCATGAGATACCCTCAGTATACCATCAGGAGGTCGAGGTTTCCCAAATGTAAGTCAGTATCTCCCTAATGCCATGGGCCCACTCACACTTAACATCATGAGAGATGCAGGTTACTGTATATATAGAGGCTCCTGGAGAGAATTTATCATTTCCCAAACTCATAGCATTCATTTTATACGTATATTTGTAATTTCATGAAAATGTGTGCTTTTATAGTTGTTAGTATTTTGTTAGTATTTTTATTTGAGGGAAATGTAGAGTCGCCTATTCATACACTTTACAAACTCTTGGACTTTTTCTAACCAAGCCGTCAGAAGAATTCCAGGTAATGGCTGATTTTGTTTTGTTATTTAATAATACTTTTGTTAAACTGGATTTGTTTCATGGCTTAAATAATATTAGCACATTTTATTTTATGTAGAGAACAGATACTATAGAATGTTTAATTAAACTGATCTAATTGATATATTATCAGTGTATCATTTCTGTGGCACAGTTTGTGTGCTATTGTACAGATGAGTTTCTTGAAAATGCTCCTACAGTTGTATTATATTGTTTTTGTTGCATATGGTTGGTAAAAAAATAAATAAAAAATGCAGTTCCTTGCATGGTCATTATTGCCACATCATAAATTTACAGATTGTATTGTAGTATAGATTAAGGTATTTGGAAAAAGATAATTATTTTGTTTTACCTTTCTACCAGTTGAAATGCTGTTTTACATTTTAGAGCTACAGACAACCTGCTGCCTTTATTGTCACACAACATCCTTTGCCCAACACTGTAAAGGACTTCTGGAGACTAGTGTATGACTATGGCTGCACGTCTGTGGTGATGCTAAATGAGATTGACCTCACACAGGTAAGAGCAGTAATAATAAGTAAGTGTTTACCTGTAAAACACATTTTCCCCTGCAAACCCCCAACAGACAGTGCACAATGAGCCAAGCATTACTTGAGTAAAGTGGGAATATGTCAGTCTGTTTTTTTTTCAACTTTTAATGAAATGGCAACGCCTATCACTTGCTGGCAGTGACGTAAGTTGGAAATGTGCCACTCCTCCAATTGGTGCTACTTCTGTTCTGAGGTAGCTTGTAAAGAGATAAATAGCTCTCACAGTTTGTCAAGTTGAAAGAACACAACCGCACATTTTTGTGTGCAGCACAAGATTCAAAGACATGAGCTGAGACTTAAACAACTGGCAGGTTTAAGTTCGCTGTGTCAGTCATAAAAATAAGTAATTCCATTAAAAAAAGTTATGAAAAATCTGCACAGATTATTTTGCATATTATCATAATGATTCTCTCAAGATAAATGGATTCCGTGCATTTAATTAATTTAATGTTTTGTCCATTTCCCATTAGGAGGTTGCCGTTTTTCAGCGTACATTATCTATAAATACTGCACATTTTAAAATATTGCCATATATACTTATTAAAAAAGAGCTGTTGTTTATTATTGATCTTCACCCAGAGAAACAATTATCTCTCTCTTACTAATACTGTGCACAGAAAGTGAAAGAATTGTTTCTGTTGTAGGGTGTTAAAATTCTGTGCACAGCATCCTCAAGAGCGACGCCACTTGGGAAAAGCATTGTTTGATATGAGTAGTTTGAACCTGCCTTCTCTAGACCTGGTACATTTTTTATTTCCCCAAAAAATGTTCTCTGGAGTGTGATAGAAGCTGACACAACATCAATATCAGTGAGGTAGTAGAAACAATAGTACTTATTTCTAATTTTATTCAATAGCTGTTTAAAAAGGGAATCCTACTTACTACACTCATTTTCTCTTAGACTGTTTTCAGCATCACAAAAACAAAACATACACAAATTATTTAAACTTAACAGTATATTACATGAATTATGGGATTTACGTTTGCTGAGGCTCCAGCATAAACTGGAGCCTCAGTCAACACTCATGTAGACACCAAACCTTGAAAGTAAAATAATTATGGGGGGAAAGCAAAATGGAAGAGGTTGTGAATCAAGCAAGTAGAAGTGGTGGCATTTTCATTTTCTAAGGCAAGACCCAGTGCATGTGAAAGGCAATTTTAAAATGCCAGCCTTTAAGTATTTTAATCTGTTATCTGTTTAAGTGCAGATCATCCTACTGAAGACTTGTTAATTGCATTAGGTCCCCAGTCTTTACAGTCATTTACAGTCTTGAGTTTTTTTTCAGCTGTGATCTCTAGTGGGAGAAAAACCTCTTCTAACAATAAAGAATTGAACTCGGCATAAAGGCAGTTGTCACCGTTTCCACTAATCTGTGAAGGGCTATACGAATCGAATCTCTGCATTTAATCAAGAAATAAATCATATATTCCATTCACGTATGTTGACTAAAATACTAAATGTAATCAATTAACAAACAAATCATTAAAAATGCACTGTCGAGTCTATTTAGTGAAAATAGATGCTTTTCCAACATATTGTTGAAATTTACTTTATGTGCCTTCAAAACCAAAATGTGTTCGATGAAATCCCCCTAAACTGGCATGTGCCCATTTGAAATATTACAAGCTTGCGAGGATGAACACAAAGAATTTACTGGCCTCCCCACTCCACCTTGACACTCACACTTTGGATCTATGCATTGTACTGTTCAGAACAGCTAGTTCTTGGCATATTTTATCTGCAGTTATAGAGAGATTTTTTTTCTTTTTTTTTCATTAAGGGTTGCCCACAGTATTGGCCAGAAGAAGGTGTTCTTCGCTACGGCCCTATACAAGTTGAATGTATGTCTTGCTCCATGGATTGTGATGTGATAAGCCGTCTTTTCAGGATATGTAATCTTACCAGGGTAAGAGTGCGTCATCTCATAAAATATTCTTGTCATTCTTGTGCATTAAAAACTATTAAAAGTATGTGCTATCCCTCTTAAATTATAAGTCAGTGGAGACTAAGATATTTTCTTAATGTATCTGCCAAAAAAAAGATTTTTGAAGAGAACAATTGTCTCTGGTGCTTGAAGTTTTTGGTCCTTTGATCACAAAAACATTGTCACAAGGTTTGACTGACATTTCGTCTTCTCATCTACTTGAAATGACTGCAGTAACACAGAAAAGCAATCTTGCATTAATAACTTGTGTCATTGTGAAATGGATGTGGGTTGATGTTGCCTGCAACTGACACCAACCTTATGGTGTCACATGTGAAATCCTGTGGCAACAGTTTGCGGGAAAGAAATTGATAGATGTTTGCTCTTAGTCTTGATATTCTTCAGAAAAGTCTTTTCTTTGATTCCCTTTTTCACATTGATCTAAGTTGGCTGGATTGTACAGACAGAATAACAGCATGTTGGGCCTAGTTTGTTCTGTGTTTTAAACTTGATTGACGTGGCCTAATCAATGCAAACCCCAATGTAGAAACATTTAAAGGGCAGGGATGACATTTAGGCATTATACAATTATTTGATTTTACTGCTTATTCCTCCTTCCAGCCACAGGAGGGATACCTCATGGTGCGTCAGTTTCAGTACCTGGGATGGGCCTCACACAGAGAAGTGCCAGCATCCAAGCGCTCTTTCTTGAAGCTCATCATGCAGGTTGATAAATGGCAGGAGGAGTGTGAAGAAGGAGAAGGAAGAACAATAATTCACTGCCTGTGAGTAACACCAGGATACGTTTCCTGCATTTCAGATAGATAAGATGTCTCGTTCTTAGGATGAAGAAGAAGACATGGTTCTGAATTTAAGACATTTTCTCTCAGCTTCCTTTCTAGTGTAATTTATTGTAATTAAAGGTTTTTGCAGTTGTTGTCATTGGTGATAAATATTTTGACATATAAATTGATCTTTGAAATAAATAATCTCTAACAAATTAGTATTAGCTTAAGCCAATCAATTTGTTTTAAGTTAAAAACTCAACAAAGATAAATCTGTATCGATATCCAAAGTTTTTTTTCCTGGTCATTGTGCAGATATGAATTATTTGCCAAAGGTATTGTTAATGCATCATACAGAAAAATTCAATCTTTGTGAATCGCATGGTATAAATATACTAACAATAAAGTTTATGGACACTTGGATTTGCTGAAACAAAATAAGGGAAGTGTGTTTCGGCATAAACCTCTGATTTACACTATTAAAATTGTGAAAGAAAATGGAACTTAAAGGTATGTTTTGAAAGCATTTTACTACTAACAGTTATCAAAACTTTCACTTGTTATCAATCACAGATCCACATACTCAGTTAAAGTGAACTTAAATAAAGAAGTAATGTATTTTTCTCCTTTCATTTGCCTTATATTTTCACTCCAGTAAAGCAAATCCAAGTCATCACATTCGTAGCTGTTTCACTGCTAGTAGTACACAAAATTCTTGTTCTTCTTACTTTTCAAGCCATTTTAGCTCTGCTTCTTCTAAATCCCCCCTGCTCTTTTAATTAGTCTTTGTGGTTCAGTGCCTGTTCTGCTCTTTTATGAAACTTTCCTCATTTTACAGTTTTTTTTAGTTACGACTGTCACTGTTACACCAATTTGAAAATTACATTTCTTTCTGGTCTCTCTTGATATGGAGAGATTTAATAATTAATGTAAACAGTGAAGTAATAACTAATTAGAACATTATTTGTTCTGGGTGTCTATTTTTTCTACTTTCACTTTTAGGTGTTCCCTTTTCCTGCTGTCTTACTTGTAGTTTAAATAGCGAAATTCTTTAAGTATACATCTATTTTACTGTGCAGTCCATTGTTCAGAACATTGACTTTAACACAATTTATAAAACAGTAATTCTGAAGAGTAATTTGTGGTATATTATCATCATGTTTTATCTCCTTTATTTAAGCCCTTGCATTGCTTTTGTGGTTCCTACAAAACAATGTGAATATTGTAACATACAATAAATAGGCAGTACATTGCCTATTGGATTTTTGTTTCACTGTGTTGTATTATATTTTATTGTGGTCTTTTTGCAAGACATGCAGTTTCCCAAAAATACACACTATCTATTCTGTGTAGCTTTGAATGCTTCAAAGTTAATCAATAATGCTTTTTTTTACTAATTAATAACAAATACAAAATTAAGTGGTAAAACAAAATCACACTTCCTTTTTTAAGACAAAAATAACAAAGCTCAGTTTCCTCAACCAGTATGCACAGCAAAGTATTCAGACCATTCCCATGGTGTCCCATTTTGAGAAATTACAAGGTGATACATACACATTTTTTAAATTTAAAGAGGAACTGCAATCCCAACTTCTGAGACCAGTTTTGTAAGATACTTAATCTTTGTTGTAACTCCTACAAAGAACGTCCAGTCTGTTTATGAGAAGAGTTTGATTTGAATTCAGTGTTTTGTCACTGTTACATTTGTGGACAGACACAGTTTTATGCACTAGAAAAAGCAAGTTTCTTAGTTTCACTGTTTTCTTGTCATCTGTATGGCTATTAAAATACAGCTGTGGCATTCCAGCCACATTTCCAGCGTTGTGTCGAGTACAGAGAAAAACTAAATCCACACTTGCAGAAACTTCATTCAAGATTAGACAAATTTCCTGTTAGCTTTAACAGCTTTCCAAAAGGAAATATAGCTTGGATTCAGCTTGATTATAATGAATAACAGTTATTCACGTAGGTCGCTGCGTCGGCATGCATACAGGTAGGCTGCGAAGGAACAGGTGAAGATTTATTCCATGCTGGAATGAAAAGAGACACAAAGCTTCGGTTGTAAAGCCTGTTTCCCCAGCCGAAACATCGTGTCTCTTTTTTGGGGGGGTAAAGTAAATTTCCAATGATGTTCAGTTATATTATATGTTTTTGTGAAATAGACAGTATATTTTTGCTTCACCGATCTGTAGTTTTCCCAAGTAGACTTTAAGCGAAAGGTGCGGGCTTCACCATAATTTTGACCACCATTGTTTACTTCTCTCTGCAGAAATGGAGGAGGCCGCAGTGGAATGTTCTGTGCCATCAGCATTGTTTGTGAAATGATTAAGCGGCAAAATGTGGTTGATGTTTTCCATGCGGTTAAAAGTCTTCGGAACTGCAAGCCAAACATGGTGGAAAGCCCTGTAAGTAAAGAGCTCATCATGATGATGCAAATCATTTCCCTCTTTTTTAAAAAAAAAAAACAAAAGTGGAGGTTATCCATCTATGCATTTAACAGCACGTGGTTCCAAAACATGTGGTGTATTTAAGCTTTTGCAAAGCCAAGTTCTGTTTTCAGCAGTTATACTGAGATATTTTAAGGGGTGAAGTGAATGAGAATGATCATAACATGTCCTACTAACGTGTGAAGTTTTAACTGAGCTTGCACAATTAAGTATTCTAAAACCAAGATAAAATAAGAGTTGGTGTATATTGGGTGGAAAGACATCTTCAAAGATAGATTTGTTGATTGATGTTGTTGAAATGGTAAAAAGTAAAAAAAAACAACAACTGAACAACTATGTTAGTAAGCCACTGATGGAGCTGGAGTGAGCCACTAGTGAAGTGAATGCTATGTTTTTTTTTTTTATTTAAAAACAACAAGGCATTTGTACTGTCTTTATAACCATATAATGATAAGTGCATACAAAAACACCTCTAACCACATCCTTTGCATATCATGGCTGCTTCTAAAAAGAACTGTTTCCCACATTTTCAGTACTCTAAAAAATGCATTATTTGAAATTAAGCTCTGTGTTTAGAAAAAAAATCAATGCATTGCAAGTAGCATTGCGCAAAAGAAGGCTGACTCAGACCTTTGCTGCCGCATTATAGTAACAACAAGTCTGCTTGATTTGCCATTGAGTCCCTGGTAACTTGTGGTGACAGATCTAACTGCCTGGTTTTTTTGCATACACAACTGTACACTACTGTATGCTATTTTCTGACATGGTTGAGATGTAAAATTATTATGAATACAGATAAATTTATGAAACAGCAGATCAAAGGTATTATTAAACAGCGATATTTCGGAAGGAATAGTTCTAATATTTCTTGTTCATCTGAAATAACATTGTCATTCCAAATTGTTTGTGTTCCAGGAACAATACCGCTTCTGTTATGACCTTGCCCTGGAATATTTAGAGACCTCATAACTGGATAACACTTACTGGATACTGCCTGATTACACCTGTTACAGCTTCAAGAGTTAATCTGATCAAGGAATCAAACAAAAGCACAGTCTTCAAGACTGAAGTTTGATTTTTATTTTTTTTATATGGTCATTCTTAATATGCTGGGAATCTCAACTTTAAAGATGTAACTCATTTATAAATGTCAGCATTGTACTAAACAGTGTTCAGTGCCACTTAATTATGTGCTGGCCATACTGTAGGTCAGATTTGCTTCAATGTTGTTTTACATTCTCTGACTTTTTTTATGTGCAGCCATTGTAAAGAGTAACACTAATGCCAACGTGTTGCATGCAAATGTTTTCTATATATATTTTTAATAACCAAAATCACAACTAATCACATGTTGTCCTGGAAAGGTTTAATGCACTCTTTATATATCAAAGTGCTGCAGTGTAACATTGGCTTAGTACCATTTGTATTGTGCAATGATGGCTGATTTTTTCCTTCTGTAGCAAATCTAAATCATAAGCCAAAGACTTTTGTGTAAATATGTCTATATGGATAAAGCACATTGTTTGTATTTATTGTTTACTTGCATTCCTTTTTGAAGGTTAAAGAAACAATCATTTTCACCCCCCTGCTCCTGGAATTTAAAATGTTTGCATTTACGTATTTTTTTATGTATTAGTGTAAGTAGGGCATACTTTTTAAAGGCTTAGACCTCTACATGTTGTTATAGTGATTTGTGTAAATGCTTGTGATGTCTGTCCATGCAGATAAGATTTGAAAAGGTCAATAACATGACCACAAAATCTATTTTTTTCTTAAAATGTAATGTTTTCACAGTTGTATTAGTATTTTAAAAAAGAACACCTATAATGTGTGCGCACAGTATTAGAGACATCTTACAGAGGTTTAAGCCAATTCAAGGGAACCAATGCACAGCCAGGCAAGCTTCAATCAACTAGGAATATATGTAGAGCATCAATGTAAGCATGTAGGAAACAAACACTTAATTATATGTGGAGTTCAATCATTTTATTTTTTGATGTTTGTAATTGTTGGCTTTTGGCTGTAAGAAAATCAACTTTGAATTAAAAAAACAAATCAAATGAATGGTTGTGTCTATATTATTCTTTCCAAAATGTAAAGTAAGATCTGAGTGCTACCTGATGAAATGGATTCTCCGGCACTATGCAAAATCTTGTAATGGCACAGTACATTGAAGAATGGAATGCATAACATCACATTTAGTGTCAGTCATATTCAGAAGGTTTAAGAAGTAGGCATTCTTCAGTATGCCTTTACATTTAAATGAACAAGTAATAGGTTTTGGCCGTGGAGCCTTCTTCAGGTGTGTCTGAAAAAGACACTTCTTCAAACACCTGAAGAAGGCTCCACAGCCGAAACGTGTTCTCTTTCTTCTTTTTTTCAGCATGGAATAAACCTATTACTTGTTCCTTTGCAGCCTGCACACGCTGACACAGCTACCCACTTAAGTAATAGGTTTATTCCATGCTGAAAAAAAGAAGAAAGACAACACAACGTTTCAGCCGTGGAGCCTTCTTCAGGTGTGAGAGAGACAGGGCAGTAAGCAAAGGTAATGTAGCGGGACAACAAAAGCTGGGCGAGAGGAGGAGTGAGAGGCAGGAGCAGGGGACAGAAAGAGAGGCCAATCAAGAGGTGTGAAGTCAGAATAGGTGTAGAGAGGTGTGAAATGAAACTTCCAATGAATGGAGAAAATTTAGAAGAGTAGTCTGTCGTTAAGAGAAGGGGGAAGGTGTGATCCTAGCTGCAGGATAATTTAAGTTTCGGTGGTCTTTCTGATGTATGAGTTCGGAAAACCATCTTTGAGAACACAGACGGAGAGATTAGAGTGGTTATGGCCGTCAGAGGTGAAATGAGAAACAATGGTTTTAGAGAGATCTTTAATCATCACAGCCCTAACATGTTCTCTGAAGCAGTCTCCAAGACTCCTTCCTGTTTCTCCAATGTAGATGGCTGGGCATTTACTGCAAGAGATACAGTAGATAAGGTTGCTGGAGGTACAAGATGCTGTCTGAGTGATCCGGAATTATCCTGAGGGGCCTTGAATGAGTGTGGTGTTAGATGTGTACTTGCAGGTGATACAGCGAGCTCTGTTGCAAGGGTGCCTGGTGTGGATGGTTACATTTAAAAGGAAATTATAAAGTGTTTTCAATTTACAGTTTTTCTTTTGATCTCCTCTGATTTCATTCTTATGTTTAACTGAACAATGTCTTATTTATAAAGCAGAGGGAACTTCCTGCTGGCAAATCTGTTATAATGAGAGATGTTAAACAGTGCTTCTTAAAGCCAGGTGTCTATTTCAGTGTGTCAGATTTACAGTATCTAGTCATATGCTGTATAATACAGTATAGAGATCGGTGTGTTGAAAAATTTTACTAAAGGATTTATCCTTCCTGTTTGTGCTTCATATGCGTTAAGGATACAGTAAGATACAAATTATTTGTGCTGTGTCTTGAATTGGGGATGTGATTTTTTCCTCCATGGTTTGACAGTGTAAAACTGAAAGTAGGATACAATTAGCTTGTTTTTAACTGGATTAGTTATGCATAAGAGTAGACGTTTTTTTTTCCGCAGAACCACACGTTATACAATATTGATGATTTATGCGCTCAGGACAAGAAATTTCTATACCGTCATATTATTTAGCCATTATAAATGTAAAGGAAAGTGAGCTAATTTTGATGAACTAGCCATTCTTCAATTCCATTTTTCATACAGTGCATATTCCGATGTTTGTGTGCTGTTCCTAGAGACACCGTGTTTGAGATACTCCCATACAAAACAGGCATTCAGAGAGAACACAGGCATCAAGTGGAGACTCAGTTATGACCAAATAATCCCATGCATTCGTTTGAAAGCACTGAAACTCGTCATGGTAGGAACCACATGGTTGTTAAAGCAGTTCTGTGTGTATGATAAAACATGAGCATCCTTTTCTTCAAGACCTCTGTAGAGTAAAAGCATGTGGTTCCTTTATTTTTCACATATGGCTTTTTTTGTTCAACATTAAAACAGCCAGCATAAACAGTAATAAACTGAATTGTTTTGGATTTCTATAGTTAATTTACTTTAAAAAGTGCTGGAGTTAAATCAGCTGTTCACTACCTATGGTATACAGTACATATCTAATAAAGATAAAGGTTTCAACATATGCTAGAATATCTAATGCTTGTTTCTTTTTACATACATTCTGAAGAAATCCCAGCTCACGATTGTGGATGAAAAAGAGAATTTTGTTATTATAAACAACACCTACTGTACATCATTATAAATAACGTGAATCACTCACTATTCATCAGGTTCTCATCAGTGACTAATGTCATTTACAGCTGCACGGCACATTCTGTAATTTAAAGTCATGCTAATCTAAAATGAAAAGCTGTTAGTTTGTCAGAATGATAGCCTAGATTCTGAGGGTTGTTGTGGTTACTTTACTGTCTGTGATTTCCGGAGGTAGAAAGAGCACTTCCACCCATATCATCAGCAAGGCACGGTAACATAAGACAAGGCAAAGCACTCCAGAACACACAAACGAACATGATGTACAGAAAATATTTAAACCCTCTATTCCAAGCTGATACATAAAAACTCTCTCAAAAAATGCTCAAGATATTTTAAATTCATAATTACTGAAAAAAAGGTTTTTCTAATTTTTTGGGGTGTGATATTTTGAAGGTTACTGGAACAGAAAAACATGGCATTAACGCTAGAGGAATTTACTCGCTCACTTGATCCAAAAACCCTACCAAGAGTAATACAGATTCAGTCTGGAATTTATTTTCAAGGTAAGAGCAATACAGTTTTAACTATATATACACTATATTTAAATTAATTTAAGTTGACATGCTTTAGTGTTTTCCTTATTTGTTTTTTTAACTATTTCAATTTATGGTAGGTTTTCAAAATAATGTATTTTTTCCATATTAAATCTAAGAAAAAACTGTTTAAAGAAGGCGGTGCGTAATGTTCAGCTGCCTTTATATCTTTTTGCCTTTGTTGGCTAATTGTCCTTTTTCTTAATTTTCCTTTTATGTGCTTCATGAACTAAATAATTAGACACATTTTATTTTTTGTGGCCTGTTTTACATATAACAATTTTGCATGTCTGCATTTATAAAACTTCTTACTCTAGAAATAGTACAATTGCATGTCAGGTCTGTGCTGAAGATCGCTTTTCTTTGTTCAGTGTCCTCCTTATTATAGGTCAAGTTTACTGAAGCTTCCTGGATTATTAATTGCCTCCTTTCTGTACTTTCAGCTATTTGACACCTGTTAGTAGGCGAACAGGATTTGCTTTCTTGTACATGTATACATTTAAATTATTTTAAAGGCAGTATTTTAACAATACAAACCAATGTAGTGAATCAGTGTTCTCTTGTATAAGAAACACAAAGCTCATTTTATGTGCAGGATTTTATATTCTCGTTATCTTTTCTTGCCTGCTTTGGCTGTTATTTGTGTTTAGCTTATCTTTGTGTTAGTCTACAACACTAACTCCTGTCCATCTTTAAAGTGCAGTATAATTCATAAAATTCTTTCTTACTTGTTAGTGTTTAACTTAAGGCCTAAATGTAGACTGCATGATCACATTTAATCATTTTCTCCTAAGCATATGACCCAAAATATGAATATGAACTGGGATGCTTTTTGTATGGGCAACAAGTTAAAACATGATGTATTCCAAAATGATAGCTGGAAAGTCAATTACTCAGCTCATGAACCTGTTGAACTCATGGAATGAGCTCAACAAGAGTTAAAAAAGATCATAACGATGCAGCTCTTGCAGTGTACAGTATTATCACTCCCTGGAATTCATTTGAATGTGAAGAAAGTTTGCTAGAAAGTCAAAATATGTGATGCAATTTGAAAAACATTATGCATTGATTAAATGTTTTGACTGACAGTTTGTACATCTAATAGCTTCTATTTTACTTAGATTGAAGTTGGAGGCTGCCTGAGGTTGTGAGTTGCAAAGCAACAAATACCGTAGATGTTAATTCCACATTGAAAAGTAGAAAGAAGAACAAATAATCTTTCAGCATGTGAAGCTTTGTTCAATTGCAAAGGCTCAGGCAGCCAGAACATTCCTTTCCCTTTGTTTTCAGTGTGGAACAAACCCTTGCTTGTTACTTTTACAATTTTATTTAGAATAATTGTTGAAGCAACAATTCCAACATGTTTGAAAGTATATTATTCTTTGTATAGGTCATTCAATTTTTTTATGTAACAACAAATGTTGTAACAAACAGATTTTGCGTATATAATAACAATAATAAATAGAAACAAGAATTAAATAAGACGCACTGCTTTCTTAGCATGAGAATGCAGCTTACTTATTTTTGACAACATAAACATATGTATGAATCCAGAGTGCACTTAAGAGTTGAAATTAACAAATTATACATTGGATTATTAAATGTCACCATTTGTGTATCATTATAACCAACTGTAAGTACATTTCTCTTTTACTTTTGCTCTTTGCATTAAGGGATTTCAAGTTTATCCCAGATAGTTTTTAATTCTGTACCTTTAATCAACCATTAGTCTCATTAAGCAGAATATTTGTTTTCTTTGGGTTTATTCATAAAGCCAATATTAATAATCAGTGTTGTTTGTTTTACCATTAGGGTTTGAACATATCCAATAACATGTTTTCCAATAATTAAAAAAATGAAAATATCTGCTTTATATTGGAACTCTTTTACAAAATGGTGTGAATGTTAAACCTGTAAAACTGATCCATTTATATCCCTATTTTATATGTATATGCAGTTGTTCAAATGATCAGCTCTTAAATCTACAGTATATTCCTACTTTGAGTGCGGTATGAATTTGATTATTGAAATGTTTCATAATGCTAGAATGGCAGGAACAGGAGGTAAGATGCCATGGAAGTCACATTTAATTTTACATACAATCATGTAAGAAAATTGTTTCCCTGATGTTCCTATAATAAGATACAATATTTAGTTGTTATTTTAATAAACACCACCTTTAAAACAGATAATTCTATTATTTTTAAAAATTTACTTTAAATCATTGGAAATACATCAAGGAGTACAGTTTAACAAAAAATGTTTAATTTACAAAATGCATATAAAAATACTGTATTTATCTCATTCTTGTAATGCATATATTATTCGCATAATAATTAATTCTGACTCAATATTCATTAATTGTCTGTTTTTGAATGAATCACCATAGGGTCTAGTTGAATTGTAGTAGAACAATGGGATACCATTAGGAATAGCCAGGCATTAGTTTGTTCTTTTGAAAGCTGCAAGATTTCTGCTCTGCAAAGCAGTCTACAGAGACCATCTATGTGCTGTGTGCTACCGTGTTTAGCTTTACTCTTAACAACAGTTCATACTAAATGTCTTTGTTTTTATGCTGGTAACCTTGATAAAAAAACAACTTTGAAAATTATGATTTCTCTATAGACACTTAACCCATTTTCTGAATTGAAAACAATGATGAAGTAATGATTAGTAATTTCTAATAACTTTTTATCTTACTCAGTGCTATTTCTCTCATAAGTCGTCTAACTTTTGCAGTTTTAGGATCATTGAGGTAATAAGCAAAAATATCTAATGTTGCAAATGCATGACTTTCTCTATTAGGTTCTTGTACTTTTTAGAATTGAACTTATTTTATCATCTTTTTTGCATTTTACAAAGAAATATACTTTTACTGTATGCAAAATGACATAAATCATTGTAATTTTGAAAGGTTTGATAGTACTATGTTTCTAACATTTATTTTATTTCAGAATGCAAATTTGATTTTGCCATTTAATTTATGCTTCGTAGTTTGTGCATACGCGGATACCAGAACTCCAATATTTTATCTGTAGAGTCAAGATACCATAAACCACACAGGCAACAAATGCTTAAAAAAGATGACTGACTCAGTGCTGTTACTAAGAAAAATACTTGGTTTTGAGTTCCAGTATTAGGTCTTTATATTGCCAATTAAATTGGTATTTATAAAATCAAGATTAAGCATAAGCAATACACTGTAATTTCTAAAAAAAAAAGAGAGTAATACAGTTGCATTGAATATTTAATTGTAAATTGAATCTAAAAAACTTGAACAAAAACATTATCTTACAGGTAACTGCAAAACAATATTTCTAACGTACATGTAACGTACATATTACATCACATTTCAGTATGTAATAAAAGAGTATTAAACTAGAATAATGTAGAATGTTTGCACAGAAAACTCTGCACACACAGTTTCTGCTGGCAGAAGCAGATGTAACATGAGGCTGTTACAGAAAATCTAGGTGACAATTAAAATGTCAAGAAATCGTAAAGCAGAATTTTGAGTCTTTGTTATAAAATAAAAAATGGAACATTAACAGCAAATTGAGTCACATGGGACCGGAATGTTTTATCTTAGTAAATTTTAAAATTATATGCCACTGCTCCCATATTTGAGTGATATGCTCTCTAGTCTACTTAACACTAAAACAATTAGGTAAAGCTTTGGCCCGAGAAGGGTCTGTTATCTTCTTTACCTTTTCCTCCCTTTCTTTAATGAACTTTTAAAGTACTGTAATGATAGTCACCATTTCTTGGCAACCTAATGAGTTGCGATTAAAAGTAAAAGCAAGAAGTGGGTGCAAGCAGTGTCGACCCTGAACAGACACACACCAACACTCACACAATCCCACCAAGGCCAATTGTCCCAGAAGCCTATATTTTCAGAGGAAACTGGAGCACCTGTAGGACACACAAGTGAAAATGGGGAGAACATACAAACCTCACGCGGATAGCACCCCAGGTCCTGATTTGAACCCAAGACTCCACCACTGTGAGGCAGAACTGCTTAACACTGTCACAGTCCTGTCCCTCAGCATAATGCTTTAGGTTAAATGAGAGAGCAACAATAATATATAAAAATTAATATTTCATTTTGTTCTCCATAAACATTACTACCAAATGTCTAGTACAGTATGTGTACCATATGTGCTACTGTGCACAGCAAGTCAAATTATTCCTCCTATTTTAGTTTACAATGGTATTTTTGACTAATGAGTCCCAGCTGCTTTTTTTCCTGTTATCTCATTTTTAAATTATATTAAATTGATCCGTAATTAAGTATTGCTTCTGTTTAGATTTTTACTCACTAATGAAAAGGGTAACCTTGCCAAGCTGATTTTAATCACGAGGAACCATTTAGAAGAACTATATTATTACAGCACCACTTTACCCAAAACCATAACCAAAATTGAAATGCCATGAATCAAAGATGGCAAAATGGCATTCATGGAGTCATATATCACTATGAAGAAAATAATTAGAAAATGGATGTGAAATAAAGGACACGTTAACCTATGCTCATGCAGAATTTGTGGCGAAGGATGCAACAACCTGACATTGGTGCAAAGCTCCTGTAATGTCACTGTGGCAAAATCATAAAACACTGTTATGCTTTATTTTTTAATGTGGCTAAAATAAAGTCAGAAATACCTTTTTTTAGCAAGTTTGAGGAACATTCAATAAATCAAGCTCAGCATTTAAACTTTTTGCATTTATTCAAAGTAGGGAAACAAAAAAATTTGAAACATAGGAGACTATTGCTAGATAGTTTTTTTGTCATATTGTTATTTAATACATATTGTGAATTTTCTGTTTTGTTAATTAATAAACTGAACATCAAAGTTGTACGAGGAAAATCAGTTGTGTTAATAGCTAACAAAAATATCTATGCAACGCTGTGGGTGTCTGCAGAGGCTGGGTTTGTTAAAATAACATACTGCATTGCAGTGGAAAAGAATAAACTGCACTTTTTTGGGTAAGAACTAAAGGACATGCAGAACTATAACAGTTTTAATTAAGGCCATGGCCTTATGTTAGCTTCAGAAAACATCAGAGTTATCTCCTTGCATAATGTACAAGATTGCTGAGTGGAAAGTATTTAATCTGACATTCATTTTCCTGCAGTATCAGCAACATCTGGTGGCTCATTTGTTTTATGAACCTTTGTCTTAAGAAAAAACATATAAGATGAAAATATGCATTTGATATACCGTTTTGTTTGCTCTTTGATAGTACAATACATATAAAAGTTTAAAAAAAGCAAAGATTTGGATGTACCTAACAAAAGTGCATTCTATTACAAATCACAATATTGTCATTGTGTAGACATTGTTTAGAATGTTATATTAAGTTCCTTTGGAAGACTTAGTAGTCCTCTCTCATATTTAAATCCACCAAAATATTAACTGAAAATTATTTTTTACATGGTAAAACCATAAAGAATAAAGAATGTTTATACAGTACCAAAACTAGCACCCATATCACCCTGCAGTTTACATCTGGCAGCCCACTGAAGATCAGCAGGTGTGAGCCTGGTCAGTACCTGGATAGGAGACCTACTGGGAAAGCTAAGGTTGCTGCTGGAAGAGGTGTTAGCGGGGCCAGCAGGGGGTGCTCCCCCTGTGGTCTGTGTAGGTCCTAATACCCCAGTATAGCGATGGGATACTATACTGTTGTAACATTCTGTGAAAAGCGAAGGGCATGACAAGGCACAGAAAGGTGTCATGGCCACCCACTGCAACCAAGGAAGTCTCCAGTCGTGATGACTACTCGTACCACTGTACCCAGGCTTCTGAGGTCGAGAGAGTGGGACTGCCCCAGTATAACAGCTTTCCCACTTCAAAAAGCTCTCCTGCACAGGTTTCTTCATGCAGATGAGCTGCACAAAGTACAACCGTCATCAACAAACAACCATCATACAGTACCAAAAATATCTCCAAGGGTTTAGTTGAATACCATAGCTCCACGCAGTGCTCTTTCCCTTGGCCTGACAAATACACAGAATATATAGCATGTTACCACCATGCTGCCCTCACAGAGACTTTGGTTTTGGTAGGTTGGATCTGAGAATATAGCATCTGTGATGCTGACTATAAAACCAAAGTTCTTATTATGGGCTGAATAAGAAAGTGTAAGTGTTATGATATGGTCTTTATTGTTACAACCAGCAGCCATATAACTCCGCAACTCACAACTGGAACCCACTGAAGATACGCAGGTGTGAGCCTGGTCAGTACCGGGAGGAGAGACCTCCTGGGAAAAACTAAGGTTGCTGCTGGAAGAGGTGTTAGTGGGGCCAGCAGGGGGCGCTCACCCTGCGGTCCATGTGGGTCCTAATGCCCCAGTATAGTGATGGGGACACTGTACTGTAAACAGGCGCCGTCCTAAGATGAGATGTAAAAAAGGTCCTGACTCTCTGTGGTAATTAAAAATCCCAGGGCTCTTCACGAAAAGAGTAGGGGTGTAACTGTGGCGTCCTGCCCAAATTTCCCATTGGCCCTTACCAATCATGGCCTCCTAATAATCCCCACCTATGAACTGGCTTCATTACTCTGTTCTCCTCCCCACTGAGAGCTGGTGTGTGGTGAGAGTACTGGCGCACTGGCTGCAATCACATCATCCAGGTGGGGCTGCACATTGGTGGAGGTGGAGGGGATCCCCATTATCTGTAAAGCACTTTGAGTGGAGTGTCCAGAAAAGCGCTATACTGTATAAGTGTAAGCAATTATTATTATTATTGTTAATATCTGAAATATTGTGTCCTTATCTTGGTTGAGTTCAGTCTTCTAGTTTGTTCATTAAGTGTGAAAAGCATGTTAACTGAATCCCTGGAGAGGGATGAGTTCGTTCTGTATCTTTGATGTGTCCCACAAACGTCATCTCAAAGACAAATTAGTCCTAGTCCCCTGCAATAGCTTATCTAAACACTCTAGGGCTCCGGTCTACAGTGTCCATATTAAGACATTCTCCTCCCTCCTCCAAACCTCTGTGTCTGCTTCCAGCTCTCAAACTCCTTTCCCCTCTCCTTCAATTGCTTACATCATTTTAAATTATTTGCTGTAATATAATGTGAGCAATGGGGATACATTTAAAATCAATAATGTCAGTTTGACTGAAAGCAGGAAGGAGGAGGGAGTTTCTATTACATCTGAGGGACATTTTTTAACATCCCTCCATATAGACTTGGTCTGGCTGCTTCAGACTCTTTCGTTTCCAAAGTTAAGTGCATACGTGTGTTTCAACCAAAAATTTGAATTTGTATTGAAATTGAGATGACCCGTGAGAAAACTTTTAAACTTTTTATTTGCGCTCATATTACTTTTTCTTTCTTGCCTTGGATGCATGCTTTGGATTATTGTCAATGTCCATTTTTGCTCAGCGTGAGCTTCCTAGCAGAAGGAACCAGGTATTTGGCCAAAATGTCCTTGTGCTTGTTGGAGTAGATGATCCCCTGTATCTTATCTCACACTGTATGGTGTTCCAAGACCTGTAGATGCCACACAACCTCAAAACATGTTAGCCTTTTCACTATACTTCACAATGGACGTATATTTTTGGTCAACGGGAGCTTAACCTTTTCTTACACAAAACATAATGTTGATATTGCATTTTGATTTACCATTGGCCTATGAATTACTTGATTGGCAGTCCCTTTAAAAAAAAATACACTTCAGGCTTCTTCCAGGCAGAATTTCCACTTCATCAGTAGATGTAAATTTCTTAATTATGGACCCTATTGTGGAAAGTAGTAAATTCAGCAGTTTCTGGATTCTTTTATAGTTATCTTGCGGCATGTGAAATTCAATGAGCATTTGCCTGTTGTCCTCAGAGACCTCTCTGACCTTAACCATGATGACGCCTGCAATTACCGATTGTCTTAAGTGTTTTACCTCCTTTTATACACTCGGGAGCAGAAAACGTTTGTTGACCCTATATATATTACTGGAATTCAAATATAGATTTAATTATGTTGGATTTTAGTTAAAGGGATATTTAAAGTTTTGAATGTGACCATCAGGTTTTCTGGAATTTAATCATTAATGAAAAAATACATACAAAATGCATTTGGTTTGCTCTGCTTCAAGTTTTAGCAAAAGATACCTCAACATGCTTATTATAGTGAAATAAAGAGAGAGGTTCTCTGTTTACCTATATCATGTGTCCAAGGTGTTCAGGCTGAATATAAATCTAAAGAAGGAGCACTCAAGTAGCCACTTATGTCTCAAGTAAGGATCAGTTTCAGTTGACCATTCCAATAGTCAGAGTAATGGAGATACTGTGTGACAGCTCCGTGAACTTACATATACTAATGGAATCTATGCAAGCACTCAATGAACCTGTAACAAGCTTTCATACGTCACTCTGTTTAGGAAAGAAGCATATTTAACATATGTTAAAATCAGCCAAACATTTTAATATGAGCTTATTTTGAGCAAAGACAGCTCAGTGGGCTAAACTGCTGCTTACAGGAGTTGCTGACACATTGCCCACTGCATTGCTGCCTTACCGCTGGGGCCGTCCCAGAGCTGGGGTGCTATCTGTGTGGAGTTCTCACCATGTTCATGTAGGTGTCCTTGTTGTGCCCCAGTATCCTTCCATGGTCAAAAGGTATACTGGTAGGTTAACTGGCTTGTGAGAAAAATGGGCTCTAGTGTGAGAGCTTGTGTTTATGTTTGTGTACGTCCTGTTCAGGATGTATTCTGCCTTGTGCCTATTGCTAACCAGGATAGGCTCTGGATAAAGAAGTTAATTAATGCATGGATGGGTGAATTTAATATAGCTTCTCCTATATCAAACATTCAAAGCTAGTTTGAAACTACATAACTTGTGACAAGTATATTTTTGTAGATAGAGTATTTTAATGTTTTGTAGCCAATTATTTTACATTTTTTGCTATCCTTAGTTTTCACTTGATTGATGATTGTTTTCTTTTTAATATTTTCTATTGCACTACAATATTTGTGTTATTTTACTTTCATTTTGATGCCCTCCCACAATTAAAGCAGTTTTTTGGCCAACGATAATGAAGACATTTTAAATCTTTTTTTTTTCTTTTTTTTTAAGGCTCTGTGTATGAAATGTTTGGAAAAGAATGCTGCCTTCCTACTGGAGAGATCATAAAAATCATAGGAATAAACATTACCAGATTAACAGCAGAGATTGAGAATGAAGCAGGGAGAAACAATCTCATTGAACTGCCCCTCGACTACCCAGGTAAGTCCTTTTATAATAGCATTACTTTTTATAAAACATCTATTATAATTAAACTGCATTTATAAATGGTAAGACACAGAAGAAAACACATCCTCCAAGTATCATTATGCAACTCAATATAGTTTCTTCAGCAATAGAAAGAAAGCTATTTTTTCTCTTTATATTACAATTGTATTCAAGGCCAGTGTGTGCAAAAAGGTTTTAACACAATGTGCATACAAAAAAGAATCATAAATAGCATACTGTTTGTGGTTACTCTGCCTTTGATTTTCCTTGTCTTCAGTGCTCCATAATATTCTTGTGTTACATAATAACAATCAAGTGTCTAATTTTGCTAACTTGTGTCTGCTAGGTCTTTTCAGGATTGTAGCAGATAAACAACCGTACCTTACAGCTGGTGAAATTGCAGAATCCATGCACATATCTCCAAATAGGCTAGGTCAGCCTGTTCTTAGGAGCGCCAATGACCTACACCTGACTGATGGCACTATACAAGAAGGAGAAAGCATAACCTTGACATCCTTGACCACAGAAAACGATGAACAATTTGTGAATTGCGAAGTGACAAGAAAAGATAAGAAGCACACTTTTACACTATTAATATCCCAACATGGAGAGTTTTATGAATGTCAGGATGATCAGTTTTATACACTTCAGGAAATAATAGAATGGAAAATGCCCAAGGGCAGGAAAAGGACAGTGAACCTGGTGAAGACATTGCCTTCGAGGGAGTCAAGTTATTGCGACCTTCCTGAGAATTTTGAAGGAGAGATGATACTCACGCCTGTCTATGAACTGCAAGCAGTAATGAAATGTAAGTTCATTTTTTACTTGCTGTTTACATATTAACATAATAAGAGTCAAAGAAACACATATAAACATAGGCATACTGTAATGAAAAAGGGCTTCATAATTTGTGATCTATAATCTAATGGATCTTAAAACAGCTATTAGGAATCCCAAGCCATCCCAGCATACAGTATGAGCAATCATGTATTTGTGAGTTTATTATTGTTACAAAATATAGAGAGACCAGGAAGTAAGCCCGAGAGTTATGTAAAAAAAATGAGGCATGTGAGAAATGTCATGAGTTTATAAATCAGAGTCAAAACTTGGACAAATATTTACAAACAAAACTCAACAAAATCTATCCACAAAAACACATACAGTATGTACTGTACAAATCTTAGCTTTCCAGAGGTCTGTGTTCTACAGACCCAAAAATTTAGTATTCTTGTAATCCAAGAACATTAGTGCAACACCTTATCACATCAAAAAAGAGAAAATGCATCTTAATAAATATATCTTGAACAGAACTAAAACTCTCTTCCTTCAACATCACTCAAAAGTGAATGGGAATAAATCTAAACATGAATCTACAAGCGAGGAGAGAACAGTTTTATGAGGTTTCCACAAAAAAAATCTGAATTTCCTAAAATAAAATAAGACAGCAAGTTCTTTAATGTTCAGAATACAAGAAACCGGTCTCCAAAACTAATTAGATCAAGGTCCTCACACATGGTGCAGGTTTGAGGAAGAGGAGGGTGGTGTTTTCCTTGCTTTCTTCCTTCTTTCTCCCGTCTCTGTGTATTTGTGCTGTGTTTAAAACTGTTGAACATTTACCACTTATTATAGTTAATTAGAGTAAAGCACCGGAAACACCCTTTGATTGTGTTTACCTTCCTCTTAGTCCACTTGTATCTAGACCATCACCTTAAATCATATCAAGCAAAAGTTAGTAAAGTTAGTAAATTTTCAATGAGTTTTAGCTGTTGATATATCTTCAGCTGACTCCTTTAGTTCAGATGGGGATATAGACACCACTTGTACAGCTATCTCTGTAAAGACAAGGCAAATTAAAACTTTAATGAAATTGTCCAAACTGTATAATTTAGATTTAGAACACATGAAAGGTGGAGTCTACCTGCACAGGACCGTGCAGTTATTCCCCTCAGTGTTAATTAAATGTAATGAATATCTGCAAAATGTTAATTACTACAGAGTGTCAGGGATAGTAAATTGCAGGGTTAGTTGTGATTAAAATAATAATGTTACCTACACTTGCCTTAGATAGTTGCGACACATATGTATTCGATCTTAGAAAACACATTAAATCTTTTTAATATTTTAATACAGATTAAAACTGGCAGCCTCAGAAAACAATTAACATGTTCTAGAAAAGCCACATTCTAAAATTCACAATTTGTATGCAATTGATAATATTTCACGACTATCTATTATAATTATCTTTAATGAAACCTTTGACAACCTCCTATGGAATAAGAGGGTTGTCTTATGAGCCATGGTTAAGAATGTCACCCAGTTTGGCTTCAAACTGCATCTAAAACATCATATTTTGTAGTAGTGCTGTACTACAATGCCAAAAGCGGACAAGGCAGAGTTTATCAGTTAAAATAAATCTGCAGAATTTGGTTTGATGAAACTTGTTTTTCCATGTATTTCCGCACTATGTGCCACAGATAAAGATAATGTGGGAGAGAAAAATATGTCCATTCTAGAAATGGATTATTGTGTATGTGTAACTGAAAAGAAGTACAATATTTGAATGAAGAAACACACAACATGTACCTTCTGCTCTCAGCTCAGACATACACTTTTTTAATATTTTAGATATCTGACAATAAGCATTTACATATTTTGACTGCAGTCAATTGAGTATGTGATTCATGACAGTATTATTACAGTATCTTCACCTACAATAATTTCAAAGCTACAGTACTGTACTGTACTTACAAAAGTCTGGTTAGAATGTCATAGGAACATAAATTGTAACAAAATATGTTTGCTGACCTTCTGATTTTCAAATATACTAATCTCATTAGTTTAAAGCATTGTGACCCCACTATGCTGTAGAAATTCAAAAATCCCTTCATAATATAACGAAATCCCCATTTGTGTTGTGTTCTCTGCATAAGGGGAGGCTGTCACATAATAACACTTATTATGTTGAAAAACGTGTCCCTGTTAGATAGAATTAGAGTAGAAGTGGAAAGTCAGTCAAAACCAACCGCTGGTAATAGAGAAAAAAATACAAAAAGGCAGCAGTTGACAGGAGGTTTGGATTCTAGTGAACCAGTCACATACTCCTCAATGGTATTTCTCGATGCTTTCAATTGTAGGGATGCATCTTTCAATTTTGTCTTGTGTTCATAGCTTGTCAGGAGAATGTTTACCTACTGCATGATCCAGGTAACATTTGTTACTGTTGGTAGTATGTACAGTAGTTTGGTTGCAATACATGGACTGCCTGTGATTTGTTAAAGCCCGCTGTGACAATGTGTCAACAAACTGATAGGTTTGTCTCCTTGGGGTTGTATCAGTGCATCAGGAAAGTTGTTTGTGTTTGTGCTGTATATTGTTTATGTCTTTTTTAATTATGAGGTCTTAGTTTTTTACAAATTACAAAAAAGTTTAATGGAGTAAATTGTATTATCCATTGCTTCTTCTTGTGCATTTTTGTAGGAAGTAAGTAATGGTAAAATAACAGCATTTTCTTTTTCTTCACAGTTCGCAGGGATATTGTACACATACCATTCAACCTTGATGTGGAAGTTATAGATGTAACAGATAATTGTGACATAAACTGTTTTGTGCAGCCACTTTCACCAACTGATATCTTCAAAAGACCCCCTGAAGAATTCCCTGTAGTGGCAGAAATAATAGAGAGACCTGAACAAATTCCAGAAGAACTGAATTTCCTCAGATCTTGCAAGCAAGTTATTATCCACCATGCTTATGAAGCCAAAAGAATTCTTGCATCTGAAATACGAAGTGATGTTCAAAGGCATTTTCTGGTCCCTTTGACTTACAAAGGAAAATTTAAAAGAAGGCCACGTAAGTTTCCTACAGCATACGACTTAGAAGTTGCTAAGAGAGACAAGGAGCAATTACATGTTGTAGCAACAAAATCTTTTGAATCTCACTATAATGGACTTGCCTCTGTTTCTGTTGGAGATCAATTCCTCGTTCAGCGGAGGGAGACGAGTGAAGTTATCTATGGTGGGACCCGCAAAACAGTAGAGGCGTTGGCCTGTGAGAAAATTGAAGGCAAAACGTATGAACCTGTGCGGATCCCTATGTGTATGGATGGGGGCTTTGTAGAAGTGATTCATGACAAAAAGCAATACCACATCTCTGAAATCTGCCAGAAGTTCCATTTGCCCTTTAATGTTAAAGTGTCCGTACGGGACCTCTCCGTCTCAGAAGACCTTCTTGCAGCCGTGCCTGGGCTACATCTTGAGGAGGAAATCACTGACCCCTACCTAGTCGTCACACCGACGGACTTGTCTGAGTGCTGGGAGTTCCCCGTGAACCGAACCAAAATCTCACTGCAGCTTCTGCACAGGCTTGAGAAACAGGTTCGTCTGCCTGCCGCGCAAACAGTAGTAGAAGAAATCAGTGAAGACTCCTATTATGCCTTAAGGAGATATGTGATGGCAACACTGTGTCCCCCTCCACGCCCACCAAAGAAGCCTCCGTCAGAGTTGCTTAAACTAGAGATACCTCAGTCGCAGAAGCCTGATGCTCCCAGCTCACCAAAGGTAAAATAAGTCTAAAGTACATTTAAACAGCTTACACTTGTATTTTAACAGTACCTACTAACTCCCTGTGATTACCTGAATGATATATACTGTAAATTATATGTTCCCAATTCAGCACCCCACATGCTTTTTTTTAATTTTCAAAGCAATATGAGGATTTACATACTGTATTTCTCCTTCCGGTACGGGATTTTTAAGTAGGGTTTTATAGAGAAATACTGTACAAAGATAGTTGTTAATGTCCTAGTACATTTATTTAAATACCTCTAGCTAGAAGAACAGAACAATGATGAAAGAAACTCCTGAATTTACAATTAGTATATTAGTTTCTTGATCTAATTTGCATTTATGGACACCCTGGGTTAAAATGTCAAAATGACACAAGGAACTGATACTCTAGTTTATTTTTAATAGTATCAGAAAGTGGAAATGCATTTTCACGAAAAATCACATCTCAAAACTGATTTAAATGTAAAAATCCTTTCATTAAATGGACAACAACTCTCTGCTGATGTTTTAAGAAAATGTCCATACTTCTCAACATCTTGTACTTCTTCATTTTCTTAGTTGTGTTTCATTGAGATTTTCCAGGTTTCACCTTAATACAATGATAATGCTTTGTGGTTCCAAGTGGTGCATTCAGCGTAGGAATTTACTTGGAATGCTGGCTGGGCCCTCTACACCACATGTACACACCAGCTCAGATCTGAGTTACATCATTAGCCAAGTGAATTTCTGCCAGCAAAGGTAAAATAATTGTAGGTTTAACTGTGCAGTCTTAATATTATTGGTTTGAGTTAGGACTATGCCATTAGCTAACAGTAACTTGGATTCCCTAACCACTCTGCACAACTGGGTAAAGAATGCAAGGATTTGGTGGGTACTTCCAGCAAGTACAAGTACAGAACAAGGTTTGTTGCAGGCTAAGCTGAACGGCCATTGGAGCTTCCAAAGTATAAAGAATTTACTGATAATGATAAAATGAATTAATACGTTATTTTTATTTTTAATCTTTCCATAAATCGAGCTATGAAATATTACTAACTTTTCTTTATTTTTCTGAATTTAGTGTAGATTGCTGCCAATTGTGTTTTCATGTACAGTGCCTTGTAAATGTATTCTCTCACACAGTTTTCACATTTTGTTACTTTAAAGCTTGCAGTCATGATTCTTCGCAAATAATATTTAAACATTTACACTTTGCTTTAAACATTTAAAGCAAAAAAAACACAAATAAATATGTAAGTAGGCAATAAGTAAGAAACATTATGTCATGATTGCAAAAGTATTCCAACCCTTTGCTGTGGCAAACCTAAATTAATTTACAGTAGGACAAAATTACCTTTATGAGCTACACAGTTACTTGACAGTCCTTTGTCTGTTTTTAAGAATTAGAGGCTCATGTGACTTCAGAATATATACTTTACACCTACCATATCTCTGTAACCTCTTTCAGATAGTGCATTTTAAGAAATGATTAAATCATGAAGACCTAAGACTTTTCAAAACAAATTTAATAAAGACACAGATCAAGAGCAGGGTATACAAATATTTCTTAGACCCTTTATATCTCTTTTAGCATGGTGATGTCAATGATAAAGAAGTAAGAAACAACCACACACCTGTTAGACATTGCTGTCATTTTAAGCAGCTGGGCATGGAGAGAACTGGTTACGAATGTTATTGTGTAGCCAATAATGACTTTGAAAATGCTCAATGGCTGTAATGGGACAACATGGCCATGGGGTCAACAATGTCACTCACAAAAGGGGCTTGCAGTATATAGAAATTAAATACAGCATTTCAGATTCCACATAGTATTTGCAGTAAAACACCTACATGATACAGAAATCATGTGGCAATTCTTTTTTTGTGGACATTGAGGATACAAAAAACAAAATAGATATTACATCTGAAGCAAACCCAACATAATTCATCACACCATCCCTTCTGCCAAACTTGGTGGTGGCATTATTTTACTGTTCTGCTTTTATCAGCAGAGACTAGGAAGCATATCAAGACTGATGGGAACATGGAGAAAATTGTAGAGGAAAATGTGTTACAGACCTAAACCAGAGACAAAATTAACCTTTTAAAAGGATAATGAGCCAAATCGCAAGGCTAAAGCTACTCTCAAATGTCTTAACAATTAGAAAGTGAATTTCCTTGAGTGGCTCAAAGTCCTGGCTTGAATTCTATTGATCTGTGGAAAGATTTCAGACTTGTTGTCCATAAGTAATTGCAATGCAACTTGAAAGAACCTGAGTAAATTTGCAATGAAGAATGGGCAAAAATAGCTCCATGCTAGTAGACATAACCAACTTGTGGCTGAAATTGCTGCCAAAAGTGTTGCTAATATTCTATGTACTTGTTCAATCAGCATATTTTATGTTTGATCATATGTGCAGTAACTTATCTTATTCTTAAATTCAGTTTTACCACTCAGGCTTTGAATACAATATTAAGTTTAAAAATATATATAAATTGTTAAGTATAAATGTATATAAATTCCAAAATAGGACACCATCAGAAGGTGTGAATTATTATTTTAAAAAATGAAAGCAAATAAAAAATTGGGAGCCATGCATTGTGAGATTTTATTAAGAAGGCATCTGCAGAGCACAGGAACAGACAACAAGAACAAAATGTTCTACTTTGGAATCCTTTGGGAAGTTAATTTTCACTTGGTGGCAGGAGGCGGTGCAGCCATAGCTTCCACAGTGTGCCTGTCATACCTGTTGGCTCATATGAAGGAAAATGTCACATTGCTCATATGCACATAACATTGTAAGGAAATGTACTGCATGACTTAATCTCATATACTGAACTCTCACCTTTTCTGTTGATCAGCCCAGCTGCCTGGGCTGGGGGAGGTCTCCTTTAGCTCGCGCGGTTGGTGCCCTGTTGTGTTACGCCGGTGACCCGGGTTCGAGCATCAGGTGTGGGGGACGGAACGGGGGGGACGGCACGGAACCGTGACTATCACATTCCCTCCCCTGCTGAACTTCTGCTCGGTGAAGGACACTCCACACTCCGGGTCATGGCACCAATGTGATAGTCACGGTTCCGTGCGGGGTCGTGCCCCCCGGCGCCTGTTCCGTCCCCACACCTGGGGCTCGAACCCGGGTCTCCGGCGTAACGCAACAGGGAACCAACAGCGTGAGCTAAAGGAGACCTCCCTCAGCCCAGGCAGCTGAGGACCCTGCTACGCGCAGTGAGGGCGCTGACGTCACCACACTAGCTCAGCATCACCCTCCCCTGCTGAACTTCGCCTCGACGAAGACAAAGAGCACTTCCACACTCCCATCCGGGTCACTGCACCAATGTGATAGTCATAGTTCCCCATGGGGTCGTGCCCCCCGCCACCCGTTTCGTCCCCCACACCTGGGGCGTGAACCCGGGTCTCCGGCATAACGCAACAGGGAACCAGCCGCGTGAGCTAAAGGAGACCTCCCTCAGCCCAGGCAGCTGAGGTCCCTGCTACGTGCAGTGAGAGCGATGACGTCACCACACCAGCTCCGCTACACTATGACATCTGTAGATGTCTCTTCCCTGTAATCTGACATGAAACTCTCCATATCACATAGCATTCTGGATAAAACATCAGCATCTGTGTTGTATTTCCCAGCACGAAGGTGAAATTGTAATGAATAAGCTTAGCAACCTCACAATGTCCAAAGACATTTAATTTGGAAGATGACAGAACATAGGTTAATGGGGTACTGTTGCTATTCAGTGCACCCTGTTGTAAACTTTACAACTAACTGTAAACTGTAGACCTTCTTTTAGCTGCACCTTATGTTTTGATCATCTTGTGAATTTGATGATATGCACAAAAGGTTCTTAAAAAGTCTTTCATGTATTTCCTGTAATTATTGATAAAGCCTCATACTCTACATAATTCACCACCTTGTCATTCAAGATGCTAGTTGCTGTTGCCCTAGGATCATCAATTCAATTAGGAACCCCCAGACTCATACCCTCATTCCATTGGTGCTTCCCTAACACCCTTTCTATTCCCAGAATCATTAATAACAACTTCCTCATCTTACAGGATGATCCCTCCAGTGGTACACTCTTTTCTGACCGCCCCATCATCGCATATCGCCAACCATATAATCTGCAAAACATTCTTGTTCACAGCTCCCTTGACTGCCCTCAGCAACCATCCACACCAGGCACTTTCCCCTGCAACAGAACTTGGTGCATCACCTGTAAATATATATATACATTCATACATACATATACTCATTCAAGGCCCCTCTAGACAGGTCCTGATCACCCAGGTAACATCATATATTTCCAGCAATCTTATTTACTGCATCTCTTGAAGAAAATGCCTGGCTTTTTACATTGGTGAGACAGGAAGGAGACTGGGAGACTGTTTGAGGGAACAAGTCAGGGCTGTGAGGATCGCTCCAAATCCATAGTTTCCACCTCTAACAGCCCTGATCATAATGATCTCTCCGTCTGCATTTTTGAAGTGGGGTTTCTCAAGTCCTATTGCAGAAAGACATCCAAGATCAAAATTATCCTGAAACTATGATTATACCTTCCCCCTTCTCTTAACAACAGACTTGTTTCCTTCTAATTCTCTCTATTCATTTGTGGGTTTTGACTTCACATCTCTCTTCTAGTTCTCCCTGAGTGTTTATACTCCTTCTCTCCTTCTCCCTACCCTGGGTTTTGTTCTCCCAACATTCATCAGCTGCCAGTTTCCCTCTCTCCCTCACACCTGAAGAACAATCCACAGCTGAGTTACATCTCTCTTCCTTTCTTTTCAGCATGGAATAAACCTTTACCTGTTCCATTTTTAAGTTGTGGTCACTCAGTAGAACTAATACAGTGAAAACGTCATCATCTGGCTTTAGCTGGAGCTGAATTTTTCAAACCAACTTATGATGGATATGAAAGTCTATGAGGTTTCCTGTCTGTATTTTTAAATGTGACTAACAGAAAAACAGTGAAAAAATAAGCATAATGAAAAGACATCAAACTAATTAACAATACAATTCTACACTACCTCTACTACTCTATTACTCCAAATGCATAAATCTTAACCCCCTGCTCCAACCAACTCTCTCCAGTCTCCTAACTTCTGACCAACTCCCACAGTGACACACCCCAATACATATAAAAAATGATATCATACAGATTTATGACACCATTGTGAAGTTTTGTGACTGTTTTGGCTTAATCATTAATTTGATAAAATTAATGGTCACTGTAGGCATTACAACCTGCCAAGTTATTAATGTTGCTTTAAGCTTACTTAAATAAGATCATTCAATGATTTTAATGCTAAAAGTAATACATTTAAATCATAATTATTACTCCAACTGTAGAGTGGTGGTCACTATCCCATTTTCTTAGTACCATACCTGAGAAATGAAAGTAATTTTTTGGCTTTGCTAGTGAAGAAAGACTATACTAGCACAGCTTTAACTGCCTCACACTAAATTGTACAAACATAACCATATGATGAGTTAATGAGGGAAAGATAATATATGAGTTTTAATGTATGTAAAATCAATGCTGTTTTTCTGCATGTTCTATTCTTGTGATCACCTATGCTTAACATCTTCTTTTTAAAATACTTTCAATTCCTACAGAAAAGGAACAACAGATGTTTAAAAAAGCACTCAAGCTCTTATTTTACTTAACAGAGAAACAATATGCATTGACATCACTGTGTTCAGAGCAACAGCAATGATACAGCAATAGTGTATAATTTGCATTCTTCTGGTAAATGCTAGCATAACGTGTCTCTGTATTTTCAGGGTCAACGTGCAAACCCCCCAAATGCAGCAAAGCCCCCACTTCCAGCCTCTGTGGAGCCGTACACTGCGACGCCAGAGTGTGAGCTGAAGACGTTGACAGCGTCATTCCTGACGGACATGTCGAACCCAAACCTAAAGAAAGGTTAGAATCAATACAAAAAGCAGCTAATTTCACCTATACACAGTCATTCTGCCTAAGATGTTTATTCGACGTTGTGGTCGGTTTTCACTACATTATATTAAAAATTCAAATAGTTATGTTTTAGTAACCCTAGACGTGGACAAATACCTATAGCATGTTTATATGATAAAGGTATGACACAGTTCAGCTGCTTCTAGTTTTCCATCTTTAGTGTAAAACGTATTACTTATTATTATTATTATTATTATTATTATTGTACTTATTACTCCAGTGCACTGGACAAATATATTTCTATTGTATAAAACCGCATTTTCACAAAAAGAGCAGCCACTGAGAACATCACATAGGCTCTCTCATGCATTCACATAAATTAATGTAGTCTTTTCTTCATTTATAAAGTATCTCAAATGAATCACTATTATGGCTGTCACCCTCTTTAGGATGACTGTGTCAATCAACCACTTGAGTTTGGAATCAGAGGGATTCTAGGGAGGATAATCGAAAGTATTATTTAAATTCAAGAGTTCATGCAAATGTAGACAACATATGTGAATTTATTAATATAACACAAAGACAGCTTCTAACATTGAGCATTTACCATATTATTTTATCAATTTTAGTACTCAGCCAGTATTCCTGCAAAATTAATATCCTTTAAATTTGGTCAGCTTTTAATAAGCAGATAATAAAAATGAATCCAAATAAAAAGGACTATTGTTTTTTGTGATTAATTTTGTCTGTACTGAAGAATAAATAGAATTCCAAAATGCCACTGGGTTTTAAAAATCCTATTTAAGCGTCAACAAGGCCCAAAACAAATACACACCTAATAATAATGTATTTCCTGTTAGCTGAACCATAGCATTTGCATAGAATTAACTCAAATATCTCCATCTATATGTAACACATTTTTGGCTTGACATTTTTCTCATTAGCCAGCAGCTCTGAGACATGCGTGGTGGAAGATGATGGAGACGATGATAAACATGAATATGAGTACATCGATGAAGATGAAGTTGAGAACATAAGAAAAAAAATTCAGGAAAAAAATATTAACATCATTAGCTGTAAGAAAACTCATGGTAACCAGTATGAACAATCTATATGAAAATTTAAGAAAACCTTAAATGATTCTGTAATATGGCAACTTTATTTTTTTCCATGTCTCAGAATCACTTTGAAACAAATGGATGCTTCATTTTAGCCTGTAAAGAACTGAGTGATTGCTTTCTTTTCACTTCATAGTTAAATATTACGTGCCATTATATTAAGGTCACTTCTTATATGTAAATTCTTTAAATTATACAGTAAGTATTTTTTAAATTATTTAAAACAAATCTCAGCTGTATCACAGATTGCAGAAGTTTTAACTTTGTAAAACACCTACAGCAAAACAGCTACTGAAGTTGTACATATTTTAAAACAAACATAAAACATTTGATGGGTTGTTTAACGTTTTGGTTAATGAAAGGTAATGTTGTATAAGTTAACAGATTTTTTTTTTTGTACAAGGAACTTCACAATACACTCTGGTATTATTGAGAAGCAAAATACATGTTGTATCTGTCTTTCATAACAAAGACAAGGCAAGGCACAGATTCACAAGCAAAAGATGAAGTAGTGAGAATGTATTGGAAAATGCTTAAGGTGACAAAAAACTAACACAATACTATTTTAAGCCATGTTTGTAGCTAATATCCAAACAATAGTTGTATTGCTAATATTGCAATACAACTATTTCTTATTTTAGGCTGCTGGTTTTACTATACACAGTTCATTTGTGGTATATTCCTTTTGGTTACTATGCAGTTAATTTATATTTAAAAAAAAACTTAATTAAGGAGAAATTTACCAGATTATACAGATCCACAGTGTGGACCGCAGCCAGGGGTTCACACCCCTGCACTTTCAAAACGTGCCATGGGATTTTTCAAAACTCGTTTCGGAGTCTCTTCTGAAAGATGGCATTTCCTTCATCACAGAGTTTCCCTCAGCCGTTCAGTGGAAATAGTAGTTATATCTACTTACTGTATGTCAGTAACCTGGATGTCCCTGGAGATCTCCCATCCCAGTACTGACCAGGCCCAGCCTTGCTTACATTAGAGATTCTGTAAGGGGCTATTAAACCTTGTCTTTTTGTCTGCATTACTTTTTTGGTAGCACGTAAATCTGAGATTTCTTATTTTGGAAAACATTGTTGAGTCATTATATACTTTGTATTTAAAAATATTTTGGTGCATAGATAACTGAGATACTTATTTTAATGTCCATATATTGCTTCCTTATTTACATAGCTCTATGTTTTTCATGACTATTTATATTCAATACAGTTAAAGAATGCAGTCCAGAAATGATCACAGAACTGTTGTATTACAATTGTTTGTAATCTTTAATTTCTAAATTAAAAATTACAAAAAATATTTTTGTAAATGCATACTTTCTGTTTACACAAGCATTTCAAAACTATATTAACTGAGAGTTGAAACAAATATTTTCTATTCATGTAATATTTTGCTTGTAAAATTATTAAAATTAAATTGTTTCAGATAATGTGTTTAGTATGCATCAATCCATTTTCAAATACTTGTTCCATCTGAGGGTCATGGGGGAGTCAAAATTAATCCCTGCAAGCAACAGGCGCAAGGCAGGGTACACCCTGGACAGGATGCCAGTGCATTATAGGGCAGACACACAGACACTCAACACCGGGGCCAATTTTCCAACAAGCCAGTTAACCTGCCAGTATGTTTTTGGACTGTGGGAGGAAACTGGAGCACCTGGAGGAAACTCACGTAAACACATGCAGAACATATTATTACAAATAGGGGGTTACGAAAATGGTGCTAATCAGGAATTGACAGAGCAGTTTAGTCAATAAGTAAAATAATTATTATATTTATTTATCAGGTCTTGTTGGGATGATCATGAAGTTGGGGCTGTCGCCTGGAGTTCCAGTTCCTCTGGACTCTTGTCTACTCTCTCTTCTCCCTTCTTATTTTTCCTAAAATGTGATTTTATATTGTGGGTTTCTGTACTCCCCATTGACAATCATTAACCCACAACTCAATAGATATACCCAGTATGTGATCTCCTGTCACAGCCTGAGGAACAGTGAGTCCGTCTCCCAATAATGCTCCAGCCGCCTACAGTATATGTCAATATTATATAATATGTCTTTGTTGTAAATGTCTGTAACATGTCTGTAGATTTTATTTTACTTCTATTTTTTGTTTTGTTCTATGTTAATTTTATTATTTTTATTTGCTTTGGCAACACTGATTGTACCCATCGGTCATGCTAATAAAGCACCTTGAATTGAATTGGATTGAATTATACCAGGTTAAACTTTACAATGGTTTCTGCTGAAGGGACCCCCGCCCCCCACCCCCAACCCCAGACCTCCTCTCTGCTTTGAAGCTTGAAGTGTTTACTCTTTCAAGTGTCACAAACTTTATCTAAAATCTAAGAGACTCTTCAAAGTCACCTACTGTACAGCTGTAAAAATATAAACTCCATGCAGGCTTGGTATACATTTAAAAAATTATAATATTTAAAATATATAATTATATTTTAAATATTACATGGTGGATTAATATTCAGATTAATGCTTTATGCATGACAATTGATTAACAGAACCTCTATTGTTGAATTCTCCAGTTTGAATTGCGCCCTGAAACAGAATATTTCTATTAAGCATAATTGTTTGTCATGCTGTAGATTGTTTGATTTGATGAAACACCCTGTTAATACCACAAAAACCTGCTACCTGCTTGTTTCTACTGTTAACGACTACCTTGATGTTCTGTACTGTTTACATTCAAATATGTTTTCAGCATGAATTCAAAAGTACTTAAATTTTCTGTTCATGGTTCTCTGTGTGCTCATTTGTAATAGTTACATGATTGTCATGTGATTGTCTCCAAAGCAAGAACACTGCAAAATTGCTTCTTATCTGGTAAATGTCATATGCCAACATAAATATAACATCATAGAATATTTTACTTTCAGTAGTTTGGTTAGGTCCTAATAAATGCGAGAGAGAGGCAAAATATACAGAGTGTATTTGACCTACACCCTCCCCTTCAGTTTGCAAAGATTGAGACAGGGTGTTGCTGCAGGGGTGTAGATATGAGGTGGGAGTACTATAAGAAAGATATGCTATGGGAAGTCCTGGGGGCAAGACTTAGATATGCAGGCAAGTGGAACTGTGTGAGATTAGGATCTAACCTTCCTCCCGAAGTCCTTTTTATTATATGTAGAGAGATGATTTGTAGAGTATATCTGGGGTAGCGCAGGCTGCCCAGAGCCTGCCATAACGAATCCCAAAAGCACCAAGACAGAATATCAGTGTTGCTGCAGTTTTTGTGGAACTGAGAGGGTATTTAACCAAAATATCTGTGTAGAATAAATGAGAGAGCAACTGTGTCACAGGCCTGAGCTAGTATGAACAAGTGGGCAGGGATTCACATGTGCTGTGGGTATCAGTATGTGAGCTGAATAGGTTGCAGCACTAGTAGTAGGCTAGTATAGTAGTTGCGGGGATGGCTAGCTTGGTGAGTGTGGGGAACTCTACTGCAGCGCAGGCCACTGTTGGCCTAGAGAGCTGCTGGTGTGGAAGGGTAGAGTCCAAAAGGAAGCTGCCACATGCTGGATATAGCTTGACAGAAATGAATTTCGAGCTGAATCCCCCCAGAAGGAGGCATATGAGCTATGGATGTGGCTAGAGGTATGGGAGGAGAGAGATCTGGTACAGACCGGCTGCATTCCCGCCCACATGAGGGGAGGAGCCCATTGCTGTAGCTGCCTTGGTCCACATGCTAGGGACAGTGTAGGGGTGAACAAGGAAGCCCTGGTCAAAATACAGACTGATTCCCTGTGCTCTCAACCGAGGAGTGGAGTGGGAGAGAGAATTATTATATTTATTTATCAGGTCTTGTTGGGATGATCATGAAGTTGGGGCTCTCGCCTGGAGTTCCAGTTCCTCTGGACTCTTGTCTCCTCTCTCTTCTCCCTTCTTATTTTTCCTAAAATGTGATTTTAAGAAGATATAGGTGGGGTAGGTTGGGGATTCCACCAAAAATGGACAGGGAAGAGGGAAGAGGGAAGGGGGGAGAATGGATTAGCAGAGAGTGAGAATAGAGAGACAGAGGAGGATGAAAATCTGCCTCAGGGGCAGCTGCTGAAGTAACTTGGAGATTCTGGAGGCTTGCTGACAACAAGAAAGATTCACTTTAGGGTGGGCGACGAGACAAAGTCTTTTGAGTGAAGGCAAGAGCAGCTCTGGCCCTGGATGGTACCTACCTATCATTCTCAAGACATTAATTAAAATTATGTAAAAACCCTTTCTTGGACTTTGTTTACATAATCAAAAAATACATATGTGGGCTACATAAAAACCTTTCTTTTATAAGACACAGTAAATACATGAGTAAACGTACAAAAGGGGCCAAAACTAAAACTGAGAAAAAATACAGGGCTTTGCTTTAAAACAACAGATAAAATAATTTGCAAAAGAGTCAATGATAGACATTTCAATTTGGTTTTGAAAAAAATGTTTCAAAGTTTAATTATGCTGTCCAGTTTATAATTTCATTTTAGCGACTTCTGTAAATTTTTTAATAAAGATGTTAAATGATATTTTACGTAATGCATCTTTTAAAAAACAAAAACCCTTCATCTTCCACGTTAGTTCCTGTACATTCCTATATGCTCCTAGCAGTTGGAACTCATCTCAATTAGAATGGACAACAATCCAGATACAGCAAATTGAGGATTCATCACCAGGTCTTGGAGGAGTTGTTCTCCCTTTTCTCTTGCTTTTTCAGAGCACATTGCTTTGTTCCATGTATTGACCAGAGTTCCACCTTCAAAGCAAAAAAATATGTTATGAAATTAATTTAGTTGAAAAGAAATTCAATTAAAAAACTGCTTGCATCAATTTGTTTTGCAACCCTAAGAACACGTTCCAAGACTGGAGAAACATGACTGCATTAAATACTTTTTGTCACTAGAGGGAGTGTTCAGCTTGTTTGTCAGTGCATTCTGATGCAAACTCTGATTTCCTGCAAAAACATTGTGCTTCTTCATACCCTAGAATCCATAAAGTTTTTAATCAATTTTACATGAGTTCTTATATTTAATATTAATTATTAAGTATAATTTCATAACCAGCAAAATTCACTTTTGTTGCTGGATAATGATGGGATCTTAAGACAAGAATGACAAAAGCATAACAAAGTACAGTATATGGCTAAGGAGTATTGCAAGTCAGATGCCTTCAGAATTTAATGCACCACTAAATGGAAAAAAAAATATTCAACATATCCTCATTACTGTCTAGCATATGAAGTCTCAGAAGTCTCAGAATTTTATTACTTATAAAGATTTTGTATAGCTGGAAAATTAAGATGAAGATAATTAACCTGGGTAGTCATAAGTCTTTATTTCTGCTGAAGATATTAGAGCTCATATTCTTTCTTGATGTTTTTATTTTTGATTTTTTAAGATTTTATTTTCAAAAATCCAAAAGCAAGCACACAGGAAGAGTCTGACACAAACAAAAAATTATTTATGGAAAGTGTTACTTGCTCTTTTTTTAAATTATATTTAATTAAGAAATAGAGCTGATTCTAAATGTGATATTAAACAGTTTCAAATAGCTCGGTAAAAAGACAATTCTGAAATTAGTAATACACATACTGTACAGATACAGTCCTAGTTGTTCAAAGGATTTTCAGGCTTTAAAGCTGAAAGCAGTTGGGAGTAGTGGCAGCTGGAACAGCACTGGAGCTGGGATAGCTGGGATCTCAATATCCCCTGGAACCAGCTTGAAACTAATCTGCTGGAGCCCCTCCATAGCCAGAGCAAGAAAACATAAACCACTGCTAGCTCTATGTCTTGTTCTGCTGCTGTGCCACCACTAGGTGGAGATATAACACTGTTACTATACAGTACAGAGCCATTCCAATCCCACTGCATCTTTCTCTGAGCCCACAGAAGCTATTTTAATTTCTCTAATGTTTACAGAAATTTGGAGGAGCTAAATTATCACATAAACAGGAAACAGGGTTAATAACATTGGATTATGTATTCCAATACATAACATTGTATTAATAACATTGGATCACCCAAGACTCCCAGAAGCCAACAACAGTTAGGGTACCTTGGGCACAGAAACCAGCCTTCTGGTCGAGCAAGAAAACAAGTACTGTAAACTGGTGGTGGACATTGATGGCCAGTGAGAGTGGACTTACTGGAGCCGTCAAGAGAGATAGCACATGGCAGCAATCAGACAGACCACCCCTCTTGCAACACAGCTGTTTGAAGGGTGTCTTCAGAGGACACAGCTAGATGTCAGAGAGCCTCACAAGTGTGGGAAGCTTACAAGATGCAGTTTAAGTTGGTAGCCTCAGATTACCAGCTGGGGATCGCAATAAGTACTTTTGGATCTGGATGAGTGCCAAATATTGGAATAATTGAACATCTGTACTACCCTAGAGTGCTTCTTTGGCACCTCAGAACCCCACATGTGTTGAGAGTTTAGCTAGAGTCTGATAACTAAGATGCTTTGCAATTGACAAGCAATGTTCACATCAGCATAAAAAGGTTATAAGCAACAGGAGCCCAGAGAATGTTTGGCCAATCTTACTTGTGAATGAACTTGGTTCATTGGTCTTGTTAAACCTGTTTAACAGCACCTTTTCTAACATCTCCCAGCAGCAGTGTATAAGTTGGGAACATATTCTGGAACTTTCCCTTGGGCCAAAATCAGAGGCAGCCAAAGAGGTAGGCATTTGGGTCACATTCATTGCTATGAACTAGTTCACCAAGTCGGCTGAAGTTCATGCCCTCCTTGATCAGACAGCTCCCATTGTCCCTAAAGCCCTGCATGAAGGCATGTTCACCTGGTTTAGTGTTCCAGTAGGGCTCCACAGTGAACCGAGAGAGTAAACTTCAAGTCAAAGGAATGTGAAACAGCTATAATTTAGTGCAGATGTTTAATTGGATCCTGGCCACCCAAGTCACAACTCAGACTTCTGCATATCAGAGGGACAGGTCTAGCTCTTCATACTTCAAGGGAATGCCATTTACAAGTAATCTAACAGAAATCATGATCATGAGAAGAAAATAATAGATGTACCCCTCCCACAAACTCTTTGCCCTCTTACCATGTGGGAAAAGATGTCGCAGTGTACTGGCTAGCTCCACCAGACACTGTAACAGCTTCTTTCGGTAGGCTGTCAGGCTCCTCAACACCCTGGAATCTATTGCACCCACCCCAATTCCAGAGACAGGGCTTAAATCCCCCCAGTGTATTGTGTATATTGTATTATGTATTTACCTTGTAATTTGCACTAACTGCTCTTTGCACTATGTGTATCCTGTCTACAATGTCTATGTCAGTGTCCTGTCTGTCCTGCCTGTATTTGTGTATTTGCACCGTGGATGAGGAGGAACTATATTTCATTCCACTGTATACTTGTGTATGACTGAAAGGATAAATAAACGAACTTGAAATTGAAAAAAAAAAAGAAATCAAGTAAAGCAATTTAATTAATAACTTTAGCTTAAATATATATTAAGGAAATTGGATGGAATTAGAAACATCACCAGGTAAAGCACTAACCAAGGCTTCATAAATGAAGAATTATCTTTAAATTAAAAACAAAGACAAGGACCAGGAGTATAAACAAATTTAAAGAACATAATTATTATTTTAGAACTGAGAAAACAAGATAATAATTTTGATGTTAGAATGACCTCTACTAAAATGTGTATCAAAATTAATCTGGAACATTGAGATAGATTAGGGTAGCCTTGAACCTTGAACTAATTACAATCAGGATAAGAAGTGGTATTGGGTGCCCATTCTACATCTGCAACCTTTCAAAGTTTCTAACAGGACCTGATATAAGTATTCAAAATCATCAAAGACACTAGCAAAGTAAGCCCAGTGTATTTTTTCAGACTTAATAGTGACAGGAGAACCAGAGTGACCAACTGGAAACTTTGTGGAAGTTCATTTAAAACTGTGAAAGGAGGCATTAATTTAACCCAAAGTTTGGTGGGATTATGGAAAAAGTTATCCCCGCCATATTGCTGAAGATGATACAATGGCTTTAATCAAGAAACAATTGGATGAGTTCCTTGGATCAAGTACTGTAGCTATTGACTCCCAAATTGAGTAGATGGGCTGAATGGGCTCCTCTTGTAACTTTGTAACTTTTCTTATGTTGCTGTGGTTTAAGGTTTGCTAGAGCAGATTCTGATCAAAGAAAGACGGGTTCGGTGCAGCTTTGAGGGTTAAAAAGACAAGTGTGCTTAATTTTCCAAACTACTGAAGTGATCTGTTAAATTAACAAGTGGCTTCACACTGCAAATTCCAAATCTTGAGATTTTATAGAGTACCTAGACCACAGTGCATCTGTAGAATATTGTCTGAAGCACTAAAATAAGTGTTTTGCTATGGTACTAATATTCATTGTAGGTATTCATGGATAAACAGAACAGACTTACCTATCAACCTGTTCATGCTATCCATCCAGCTGAACATGTACAGGGCATGATTCTCTTCAGCACTGAGGTCTGCAATGTTAGGAGGTTTATCACCCTCCTTAAGAACCCTCCTTGGCATAGGGGCCTGGAAGTGATTGGTTTTCCTTAAGCCAGAGCGGAAGTGTGTTGCAGCCACATAGTTAACAGCATTGGACCAGCTTCTGCTGAAGCTCACCTCTGGCTCAGAGTATTGTTTTATACTGAAACAAACAATTGAGCTTTCATTCACAAAATGTCACCTATTTAAGAAATGCCATTATAATACATTTTAATCACCACAGAAACACACCCCATTAAAATAAAAGGTTGTCTTTAAATGAAGAGGATGTTATTTGCAATTTGTGGCTTATCTGATGTTTTGATTCAATTAACGTAATGTGGCCTATATGTAAAAATCTACACTGTTTTCTTCAATTTCTTTTCTGAATGTTCACCTAAACTGTAAAACGTTATTAGAGAATTACCCATGCACCACATCTTTACAATAAACTATATACTCTGTGACCTATTGCATGGACTGTACTGTCATTTACTTCTTTAATTCCTCTTAAAAACATTTTGGTAATAGAAAGAAATTGTAATATACCCTTCAAAATCCTTAATATGTGAACCATGTCTTGTAAGTACTATGTTAATAAAATTTACCCACCGCTCTGCAAATTTAGATGCTGCTGTAGAAACAGACAGTTTTTGTGCCTCCCACATTAATTCCAATATTTTGTCTTCATCTCCTGGGTCTGGAACATCTGACAAACTCAGGTTTTTCAATCCCTTTAGTAGTACAAAAAGGGAAACAATATTTTAACCTCCAAACCATTATATCTACAGTTTGTATAGCATTATTTCTAAAAGCGGTTGAAACAACTTCAAGAAAAAGTAAATATTGAACATAATAAGGAACTGATATCACATATTTTTAAGGCATCTAAGGGATTAACACTTTATTACTTACCTTATGGTATGACTGAAATACTTGAAATAACCATTATTTGTGATTGGTCTCTAGCCAATAAAGCCTTTAATACCAACATGTTTTATACTTAATCTGGTCCTATGTAAAAATTCATTTCTATTAGGTAGATTCCCAACATATTTTGTGTTGTATAACATGACTTTCAAGAGCAGATTGTACCCGTGATTCTACCCCATTGTACCGAAGTGCGAGTAAGTAATAAACTGAACTGATTTAATGACCTTTCTCTTTATCACTCTTTTATACTGTTTTCCTCCATCCCTCTTCAACCTCTGTGCTTATTCTCTGCTGGCCACACAGTATTGCCATTAGAACAATATAATCTTTGACCACTTCCTGACAGCTTCTCAGATATTGCCAAATTAGACTGTACTTACACCTCCACTGGCCTATTGCTCTGGGCTAGCTCTGTTCTCTCACAACACCAGCTTCAGGATAAAAGATCACAAGTATTGTATGGTAATTCAGCACCTTGTTTACCATGGTATCCCTTGATGTGTCTTTCACTGTATTTTACAGTATTTTACAAAGGGCAATTATAATTAATTTAATTACATTTTCAGGCAGGAGTCTGAATTATTGAACCAACATAATATTTATGACATTAATCTTTCATTCAAAATAATTCTGATGTAGGTAATGAGACCCCTATGCCAGAGTTGTTTATTATAATTCTTGAAGGTCTCTGCAAAATATCGGATATATCCTTCCATTTAAACATGCTAGTGTGGACACAAATGGTGGCCGTGCTGAGCTGATGTACTGTACGTCACTTTTAATTGTAGACTGTGACTACATGATCTCTAGAGTGCTGTTGCTCTACTACATTTAAAATCTATCATATTTTAAAGCTCCATGGTGCACTGTTTTTGTGATCCAGGTGATTGTGTGGCAGTCAGACTCCAGATTCAAGCCACCGTCACCCAGACTCTTACAAGAGCTAAACCCTGTCTTCTAACACTATGACATAATGCTGTACTATAATCTTGACTCTACAGCAGCTAACAGAGGTACATGCTCCAATGGTAAAGTACTCTACCTGGAAGAAGGTTTCCCATTTTGACATCAGTTCTGGAACTTGTGACTGACAACCTGAAACTGTGTAACAGAAGTCTTCTGCCATTTCACTAGGTTGCAAAATCTCAATGGGAAGGCTTTGTTGAAAAAAGCCCTCATCTTCTGCAGCGAGGAATGGAATAACAGATACATAGTAATTCACACCTAAATGTGAATGTGAAATAGAGACAGAAAATCGTTCCATTATTAGAATTGTTTTTATTATTTTGATCAATTCAATTTTGTTAAAAAGGCAAGTAGAAAGTAATGGTACAGTACATTATACCGTATAACTATTCACATTTTTATATAATGCAATGCACTTCAAAAGTGCTAAAACTATTTCAATACAAGAATGCTATTATGAGTGTAGACCTTTGTGATAACAGTTACATCTTTAATAAAAGTATTGTACAGTAAAAAGTACAAAGGTGTTGCGAATCTAAACCTAAAATGTGACAACCTAAAATTGCAAAATAACCTTTCCGTTTTCTAAAAAGATAAGAGAACATTGTCTTATTTATAAATTGTACGTTTATTTTTTTACCTTCTTTTACATTTATTTTTCAAACTTAATTGTTTATTTTTGTGTCAAGTGTCTTCAGCATGGAATAATCAATTACATTATTTTGGTATTTATTCTGGAGGATTACATATTGCTAATGCTACAAAAATGTTTCTGACAATTAATTCCAAAGATAAAATAAGAAAAAAAGTAATACTGGATTATTACTAAAACAGGAAATTGATATTATGCAATATTTAAACTTTGGCATATCCCTAGCTAATTAACTGATATATCCGAAGGATAGAATTCAAATATATATAATTCTTATAAAAGAATTATGGGAGATTTCTAGTATATGCTGGGGCAGACTGGCCCATAAAAATGCTTTAATGACTAAGAACAAGTCTGTCAAAGACACTGCCTAAGGTGCCTCTCAAATTGATCTTTGTAAATAGTTCTTAAGGTGTTGTTAAGGCAACAACCAATTATGTGTTAATAGTGTAGAATGGGTGTATTTTCTCAAGGTGTGAATTAATGGGTCTTTACATAATGATAGGGGATAGGACAGCTTGTAGCAGTTTGGAGCAGACCTGCTCCTGTTAAGTGGTGGCCTCTCTACAGTTTCTAATTTTAATTTTGTATAAAGTATTTTTTAATACTTGAGATTACCTATTTATTGAGAAATCTATTGTTTTATATAAAAGCATATTTAAGAAAAAATCCATCTAGGCAACGTTCAGATCCAGGAAACCTCCTAGATCTTCAAATATACTGAAGCTTGGAGTGTTGTATGTATAAAGATCCACGGCCCCATTCTACCACAAGTCAGGATTTTCTACAGTGTGTGTCTATTGCCTTAAAAATACTCATTGCAGTAACTGCAACTCATACTCACAGCTCCACCAGCTTTTTGGAGAAATACATGAATCGCCTCCAGAGCAATGGTCACAGAGCAGAGAAACAGTTGTAGGATCATTTAATCTACCTGATGATAAGAAGAGGAAATTATTTTATGATCATATTTTTTACTGCAAATTGTACATGTGATGATCTCATAAAACAAATCATCTATTTATTGGAGTATGTTTTCTTTAGAAGTTATTGTTCTTCTATTCTGTTTTGTTATCCCTGGAGAAACAGAAGTGATGCATACCATAAAATCTGCACCATGAAACAATTGGTTGTACTTTATTGACAATAAAATGTGTAGATCAATATTTCAGCATTTTGAATTTGCTGTCAAATGTCTGTTTAATATAATTGGTGTTATATTCTGAAGCATGCACTAAAGAGGTTTTAAGACATACCTGTTCGGAATTTCCATCCAAGCTGTGCTGGAAAGCCCCATAAAGGATTGTCTGTGCCATTTAAGCCAATAGTTGTCATATATTTGTCTGTTACACTCAGCAACACTTTATACAGACTCATTCTGTGCATGTAACACCAGGGGTTGATGGCAATCTTGCCATCCTTTGCCAATTCATCAAGTTGCCCTGGTACTTTGTCCCACAAAGAAGGATAGCTGAGAGGTTCATCACTTTTTTCTGCATGAATGCATATAAAGTATAAAAGTGAGAGAGTAACAGATAGATTTATTTTCATCATCTCTGTGGAAAACCAAATCCGCACTATTCTGCTTTGTTACACTGTGCTTCTTATGAAGACCGAAATATAGGACTTTGATCTGAATGTTAAATAAAATCTTTAAAACACAAAAAGTTAATTTGTTATCTATTTCCTCTGCTAATTTTAGTGGACAGCACTTTATCCTTTAGGCAAATATTTCTGTAGGTATAATGAACTTTAGGATTAGTGTCAATGGCCTCAGAAGCAGCAGTTATCTTCAGTCTCTCTTAGTCTATAAAAACCAGTATAAAAACTTAGTTGTGCAAAGTACAAAAAAAAAAGATAGAGTTACACATTCTTGAATTATTAACAATAGTAACATTAAAATTAAATGTTATAGCACCACTACAGTTTGTTCCATGTGGCATTTCATTAATCAATGGTGATTATGCTAAGTATATTACAATATAATGCTAATCATGCAAATATAGTTTGATAAATCAACAATTGCACACTTAAGCTGTCAATAAGGTATATAACATCTGATCAGTGGATGCCCTGAGCAATCTTGTCCAATGTTAAATACAGCATTTACTGTCTAAAATACAAAATGTACATCAATTGCATGTTTGTAGTTTAGCACAGTCCATTCAATTCACCTAGGTTATTGGGTTATAAATATTTTGGTATAATTTTTGTCCCATTTTGTGAATTGCATGTAGTTCTGAAGTACCTATAAATCATGTGCATCTGCTTGACCACATTTCTGAGGGGTAGCTATAGTGTATAACCTAAATCTCTAGTGTCATTCCCTGTTTGATCATAATCTGCAAATATAATAGTATTATAAATAATATAACCTTGCATATAAGCTATGAATTATAATAATCCGTGCTTTTTACCATCCATCTTTCCTATTTAATTTAAATTAAATGTCTTAACTTTCTATGTTTTGAATTAATATTACTTTCAAATAACATTTATACGTTATTGCAAGTGTTTTAGGATTTAGAATTTCACCTTGGAAATTTTTCAAACTAGTCAGCCTTTCTTTTTCTCCACTTGCAGTCAGCTGGTCTGTTAAAGAGGTTGTGTTACAAGCCAGCTGACTCCACAAGAAGAAAAGGGAAAGGGGACAATGCTTCTCTGATTGTACATGGACCTGTCTTTATGTGTGAAGTGTTAATAAGGCCCATCGGTCAAAAGGTGTGAAAGGTGATTGTAGATAAAGATTTTCCCTTGTTATGAAGTCTACACACAGGAATTAAAAACATAATAAGAAATACAGATGGTCAAGGAGGAATTACAAACATCAGGAGACAAAAGACGAGTGCTTTTACAATTATTTGCTTTATATGTTTTTAATACTATTAAAGATCTTGCATAAAATCTTTAACTAGTAAGAAAATATTAAATGACTGTAGCTGTTTAGGATTACTGCTGCTAAGAATAAGAATTTAAATGAGGTTTAGAAAGAAGTACATAATTTTATTTTCCTTAATTGTGTCATTAGGTTTGCTTGTGCATTATATTTTTTTCCATGGACAGTTGTGCACTCGTGTACTCGGGAACCCTTGAGACAGCTTAAGTTCTATCAGAAGATGAAGAAGATCTCATGCTGTGTTACTTTGTTATTTCGGAGACAGCATGTCTTTTTGACTTTCCTTCTATGTAATTCCATAGAGCTAGCAGTACGCCAGACACATCGCTGACAAATCGAAAGGATTTGTGCTCCAAATCAACAAAGCCACACCTTTAGAAAAAAATGCAGTCCACAGTAGCAGCTCCATCATAGCTGTTACATCTCCGAGCTGTCATTCCATGTCCTATTGCAGATAATGTACTCTTGATTAGTATAGCAAGTAAAGTATATTTGCAGTGTTCTGTAAAACACAATGATATTGCTTTTGAACTTCAAATGACTGTTTAGTATGACACATTAGAGAAATATGTTCATATGTCAACTGATTCATTGGTTTATCAATTGGGACTCGCAATTGAATCTAATATTTCTAATATTTATTTTGTTTTGGTAAGAGCAGTGTTCATGTTTTGGCCTTTTGGGCCAAAGCAAGGCAAAAGCAAGGACTGATTGCTAGTTGGGTTACAGCAAGCATTTTCTTTGCTTGAAAACTGAAACAAACATTTGGACACATTTATTTATAGTAGTATCACTGACACATTCACTATGGTTTTGTTAACCTTTCTAAAGTTTACCAGAGAAGTACTGGTAGATAGCATTACTTTCATGGTGTAAAAAGATCAACCTTGCAGTAACTGTATAAATCTAACAATCCATAAACAATTTGAGTTGTGGTATTTAATTGGAATATTCTTGTCTCAAACCTGCCTTTCAGATTCAAGACTGTGTAACAGAATACCTTAGCATGTATGACAAACAGGTAAAGACACATTCACCCAGCTAAAAAATAAAAAACAAAGTCACCTGTGCTGAATTCCAAAATAACAAAAATGCATTTGATGATGTGACAAAACAAAGACCAAATCTTATCTTTTTGTCATGGAGTTCTGAAGCTTTTAACATTAAATTCTTTATCTTGCTCTGGTTAGGAGGAAAATAATAATCAATTCTACAAAAAAATATCAAAAATATGATGAGGTGGGAGGGCCATTTGCCCAGTTTGTGTGATGTCCTCAGGAGAAAATTACTGTATCTAAAAAAAGATCAAGTTGGTCTCTGTCCCTTCTGAAAGGATGAGCAACATCCTGTATCACAAAACCATTGTTTATATATATATTTTTATGCAAACAAAATCGTATATGTGAAAAAGAACCAGGTGTTTTTTAAAGGGGGCACTATGCACAAAGTTGATTTTATATTGGTGTTAAGTACTAAAGTAATAAATGAGTAATTAGTCCATTTAGAATTGAATAACTTATGTTCTATAACTATAAGCACATAACAGGCACTGCAGTTTTTGGCAGCACCCAGGAGCCAATATTTGTCTGTCTGGAAAAAACGTTTAGGCTGTTTAGTTAGCTGTTTTTATGAGGAATTCTCAGACGAAGGTATAACTCATTTCCACTATACAGTATAATTTGTATTGTCAAAATAGGTAAACATAAACCTCATGGCTAGCATTGCATACTGTGGTTGTTCTTTAATGAAATTGATTTATTTGTTCAAATTACAACTGAATTTGATTAAATTTTTTTACTTTTGATAATTATATTTTGCATATGTTAATTATTATGATAATGATGATTTATAATGGGTTCCTTTGTAATTTGCTTGAATGTCAGCTAGGATAGCTTAATTTTTCTAACTTAATAATTGCTAAATAATCACCTATTAATTAGCGGAGCAGAGAGGCGGGGCTCTGCGGCTAAGGATGTGCTCTTGTGGCTGGAAGGTTGCTGGTTCAAATCCCACGGCCGGCAGAGGAATCCTACTCCGTTGGGACCCTGAGCAAGGACCTTCACCCCAAGTGCTCCAGGGGCGCCGTATAAATGGCTGACCCTGCACTCTGACCCCAGGCTGCTCTCTCCCTATCTGTGTGTCTCATGGAGAGCAAGCTGGGGTAAACGAAAAGACAAATTCCTAATGCAAGAAATTGTATGTGGCTAATAAAGTGATACAGAAGGGTAGAGCCACCCCCCCAGCAATAAAAGTAAGAGAGAGACTGTAAGCACAGGAGCAGGAGTGTGTTTGCTGTTTAATGATTTATTGGCAGTATAAAGTAAGTGGTGTACATGTAGCTTTTGTTGCTGTAGCTAGGTAATTACACAGATTAACCACACAATTAAGATCCCCTCCCATACACTCAGTTTTATTATGTATTCACGTTGTAGATTCTGATTTTCTGATGTTTCAAAGCTGGACACCTGTCTTGTGGCTCAGCAACAAAGACGTCTGTGTTTAAACTGACTGGGAGTATGAGAGATATGTAATATCAGGACATTGCAAGGCTAGCATTTCTGGAGGTCAAAATTCATGTTTGCCCTGCTAGTGTTTAAATATACATTCTTTCCAAATATGTCCCTTTTCCTAATACATACAGCACTAGAGGCAGGGTACAATTTTATTCTTTAAGAAAGTAAGTAAAGACCTGAATGTAATGTGTAATAAATGTAACCTTTAAAATCTTAATAAGAAATAAAGTATTTTATCAAGCCTATGAATGGGAGGATCCCAAAAAGAAAAAAAATGATGCAATAATAAGCAAATCAAAAAGATGTTTGATTAAGACAACAGTAGAGGCGAATACAGTACTACCACGGGACCACAAATCAACAAAATTAAGGTTTATTGGTTTTAAAGAATTCAAAACTAAATATTGCTGAGTGATGGGATTAAAAAAGCAGCAAACATAGTCATATAATATTATGAAAGAAACCAGAATGTAGTAGTAATCCTTAATGTAGGATCCATCTAAATACTAGACAATATTAGATAATATGTCAGATTCACAGGGGCTGTGAGTGCTGAAGGCAAACAAGCTGAAAAGGCCAGATGGTGCTTTTCCCACTGTACACAAAGATACGAGGGACGATATTTACAAGCTATTAACTGGGATGTTTCGATTGACACTTAAAGTGTACATAAGGTCTAATTTGATAATAAGCAGTCCCTTGGTATAATAGAATTCATCCAGTATTGCTGCTCATCTTGGAGGTGGTCATGGCAACCTAGGGTGTGTCATGGAAACACAGGGAGTATGGCTTGACTGAGCACTGGACAGTGGAGTTCTGTAAAAACTGCAGCACTTACAGAAAACATACACAAAAGCAAAAAGAACAAGTAAAATCCATGCAGTTCATGAGCCTTAGGCCATAATTAAACCTGCAACCCCTGGAACTGTGAGGTAACTGTGCTTTGCCAATTAAACAGCACGTTTGGTGATTATTCAAATTAAACCAGGTTACAGTACCGGAAACAGGTATTATTACTTGCATGCATTCTTCTTTACAAGAGCTATACTTCAGATTCAGACATATTAAACAATTTAATAATTTTATGTAATTTTTAGTCTATAGGCTGATGTGTGAGGCAGAACAAATTGAATTTGTTAAGTGTAAGGTTAAATGTATATAACGTCAGCAGCCATATCACCCTGTAACTAACAACTGGCAACCTGCTGAAGCTAAGCTAAGTGTGAGCAATATACCGCAATATACCGCATGCAAATTAGATTATGTAAATAGTATCCGGAATCACCAGCAGGTGGAGCTAATAAAGCTTAACCTCCCTGTACAGCATTCGAGCTGTCACTAGAAAACATCCGGTTTCGAATCCCGGGGGGCAATCTTTATTCAATTAAGAATTTAAGTTGAATGCTCTTTAGACTTTTAAATTTAAACTGTGTATTACAGCATGTTAATCATTATACATTATAAAAGTTGGTATATTTTATGAAAGCAAGATTGCTCAGTTGGACAAAAGTACACAGCCTACCACCTTTATCATAAATATTTAAATTATGTAGAAATATTTTCTTTACGGAACATATTACTAATAGTATTAATAATGAATGACCTTGAACAAGCTGTTAACTCAAAGTATTACCCTGGTCCACATTCTTTGTAACCGTCTTCGTAAACGAAAAGACTATTTTTTCATTGACAAAAAGTAACACCACAGCATTTCGTTGATCCGATCATGCATTCGTTTCTAATCATACAAAGTATGCCTTTCACATGCTCATAAAATATATTAATTTAGGAACGTAAACCTATTACTGTATGTAAACTGTACTACTGTATATATGGCTGGTGTTGATAGTTTAAAGAAAAACTACACACCAGTATTCCATTTCTCCCTAAACATTTTAAGCATCAAACTCTTACATGTGGTTATTTTGGAAACGTTTTTACGTGCTCCTTCTGACAATATTACTGTACGTTTTTATACTTTGTGAAAATTGAACTTTTTAACCTTTTCTGCAAATACGCTCGTTATCAGAGTAAACAAAAGCATACTTTTAGAATTTTAATGATAGGGAATATAATATGGAATCGTGTATCTAAAGAAATTAATAACGATATAATTATATTCTGGTACTGTAGCACAAACAGTAGTATAAAACTTTCCATTGATATGTGTACGGCTGTTTCAGTGCATGTCCCATGACTGGATCGGTAATGTGATAGCTTAAGTGACTGACTTATAAGCGTGAGGTCAGGTGTTCAAATCCAGAAATCACAATGAGTTTTCTTTTAACAAACATTTCTTTGAAAAACTAAAATAGCAAATATTATAGACACTACAGTATATTGACCTTTATATTTACATTAATGTTGCGCATTCGCCTGGTGCTGCTGCCGAAGAGCGCCCGGCTGGGGTACGTGTCGAAAAGCAGGACAGGAGTGGTAGTGATCAGGGCGAGGATTAGGAAAGCCGCTGACCAGTGCAGCTGACCCACTTTGAACCGGGCGTACAGTCTGGAGTGATCACCCGGTTTACGCACCCCTCAGGAACGCTCTGGAACCTCATCTGAAGGACAGCACCTTTTTTACAGTATAGTGTCTCCATCACTATACTGGGGCATTAGGATCCACACAGACCGCAGGGTGACCAAAAACGTTGCTTGGTGGGATAGACTGCGACTCCCTGCAACCCTGTTCTTATTGCTCAGACTAGAAAAAAAAATGTGAATGTGGTCACCGCTACCCGTTGAAGAACAGAGTTAGTGAAAAAAGTAATTGTAGATAACATTTATTGCATCATTACTTAATCAGGTGAGAGGTGTTGCTGAAAACTGTGTTTCTTGATCAGGCTGCATACTGTAGTATGAAATATTGTTTTAATATTTTTTTAAACTTAATTTCACCACTATGGTAAATACAGTATGTATATAGTATGTAAATACAGATATATCCCATATCAAATTATTGCTGCACTTTTGTAAAGTTAGTTAGTTTGTAAGTACATTCCAATGCCAAATCAAGATACAATTACACCATGCTTGAAAACAATAAAATTCAAACTCATTGTATATGGTTTACTTAGAAGCTTATTAGGAAATGATTTTCATAGCGTAAGACTTAGTACTGTCTTTGAGAATCTATCCAGTCAATGTGAACTATATACATAGTACTGTCCCTGAAGTGGTACATCATATTATCCATACCCAATAAAACCAATAAAACCTGCAATAAAACCACTCAACCTGCTACCAACAGCTGCAATAACAAATGCTCTGCTGCAAGTGTTAAAGGAGGGAAATGAACAGAGGAAGCCATAAACAGGTGTCCTGCTCTATGGAAGAAGTAATTTCCCACAAGAGTCTCTCTATTGGTCACCCGCTGTCCACAGGACAAATCATCAGAAAAACTCTTCTATAGGAAGCATCCGTGATAAACAGTGAAGACAATATTTACATAGTATGTTGGACAATGCCATTTCATTCAAAGTTGGAAAGAGATTTTTCACTCAATAATTACCACTTAATCTTAAAAACATTTTTCCTTATCATGCAGTTAATCATGTTCTGTTTACATACAGTAAAGCTACCCACACTGCACGTTTTTAAACAAAATGAAATATGTATATAGATACTTTATTGATCCCGTGAAGGAAATTGCAGTACGCAGAATATGCATTATCTATCATGTATATATGGAATAAAAAATGTGTTAGAAGGTAATTACTACTAAGCTTTAGTTTTTTGGGGGTAATGTACTGTATAATGTCCAGTTCAAGTGTTTGCTGGCCAATGGGGAATACATAAGCTCCATAAGGTAAAATAATGATGAAATGTCTTGTCGGCAATTAATGAGAGCCTGAACAGCAGTAGCAGAGCCATTGGGCCTTTGGCAGATAATTAATGTATAAAAAAGCCTCTACAAAGTTGCTGGACATGTTGCCACTAAACATCTGAGCAAGGTAAGCTTGTGAAAACAGTAAATGCATCTTATCATTTAAAAAACATATTACTATTTTATAGTGATTTTACTGGAACAGTTTAATTCAACAATAATTAAACATCCTGTTTTACTGCATTAAATTTTAAATCTTTTTTTTAGCTTTCCATAGAAATAGTCCTAATAAATGCAGATTAAAAATATATAAGTGATTAGATAGTGAATATACAGTTTTGTAGAAATTACTTCTGTCTTTGGATGTTTTTGAAACCTTAAGCCTGATGGGCATCTTGTGGTTATTTTTATTTTTATATTTTGAAGATTTCCTCATTTCTTTTATTTCCTATTATTAGAAATGTTTTGTAACTTTATCAACATACAGTAATATGTATTTTGTACACCTTTAGTAATAAAATATAATATCTTAAGCTTTACTAGTCATATTAATATGTTTTACACAAATTAAATACACATTTCTCCTTTGGCACACGTGTACTCACTTAACAATTTTATCAAAGTTTTTCATTTAAAATTGAGAAATCTGTTGATTTCTATAATTTTAACTTCATTCCTATTCCATCTCATTCATACCAATGTCAAATGGCAATAACAACTAATTAACAAATGTACAGTAACGCTTGTGATTTATGTCCAAGAGGTTACAGCTTGATCAATCTAATATATAATAAGAATTTGACATGTTATCATAAAGCAACAGAAAGTGTTTAAATAAGTATCAAGGAGTAATAATAATATTATATATTTAGTAAATACACAGTGAAAACCTTGTGCACATTGTGAAAACCTGCAAATTATCAAGGATTTAAAGAAACAAATGATTTTTTTTGTTTAGTTTTTGATTTTGTGTTTTACATGATACAGTATGCAGTAGCTCCAGTAATGTACACCCATTGGTAGAACATACCAAAGGAATTATAGTATGACTGCAATTAAGCATGGATTAAACCAATATCAAAACCTTTCTGGCTTTACACTGTATGACCACATGCACTTTTAAAAAACAAAAGACATTGAAAATATAAAATTTGTCAGTGATACTAAAGCTAAACTAGTTCAGCTTATTACAAGAAATTGTATTGTCAGAATTATACAGGAGAGGAAAGGGGATACTACAGCCATGCTGGTCTGCTTCAGTTTAGTTGAACACACGAAAAATTATTTGCTTTCACGAATCCATATACTGTACTATTTAAAAAAAACAAAGTTATTTATCAAGTGTTTCAAGTTTTAGTGATAAAGACAGTTGTGCTTTTTGGTATAAAAATGATACCTCTAATTATAAGTTAAGAAAACTTGAAATTGTGTTATTGAAATTATCAATTGCATGATTTTTTCTCTTTCTCCAGGAAGAGACTTTTCACACTTTGCCTCGACTGCCCAACATGAACTTCTCTCAAACCGGGATGGCTGCAAATGCACAGTTCTGTTACGACTCTGTAAACAATTCATGTCTGAAACAAGTTTATTTGGCTACTCTACGTATCCCACTGTATCTCGTCGCTGTAACAATTATTCTCTTGACTGTTTGTGGAAACCTGTTTGTCATCATCTCCATTGCTCACTTCAAACAGCTTCACACGCCGACCAATTTTCTTGTCCTTTCTCTAGCGGTTGTTGATTTGCTATTAGGAGGCTTTCTGATGCCTACAGCTATAGTCCGATGCCTTGAATCCTGCTGGTATTACGGTGACTTATTTTGTAAAATCCATGAGAGTGTAGACGTCATGTTATGTACTGCTTCTATTTTGCATCTGTCTTTCATTTCAATTGATCGATATTATGCTGTATGTGAACCGCTAAAATACCAAACTAAAATTAATGTCTGTGTTGCATTTTACATGATTACAGTTAGTTGGAGTATTTCAGCTGTTACCGGATTTGGAATGATATTTCTAGAGTTAAATATAATGGGAATGGAAGATGTCTACTATGACACATTTTATTGTATAGGTAGCTGTAATCTGATACAGACTGAAGCATCAAGCATTATTTCCTCCACACTCTCTTTTTACATCCCTGGGTTTATCATGATAGGCATCTATTTGAAAATTTTCCTTGTAGCAAGGAGACAAGCCAGGACAATTCAAGGAATAGTATCCCAGAGTAGGACCTCCGAAGACAGCAGGAAAACAACTTCAAGCAAGACAGAAAGAAAAGCTGCAAAGACACTGGGCATAGTGATGGGGGTCTTTCTCTGCTGCTGGATGCCATTTTTCTTGTGTAATTCCGTGAATGCTATATTTAATTATTCAATTCCACCAGGTTTAATTGACGGCCTTTTGTGGGTAGGCTACTTAAATTCTACATTTAATCCTCTTGTCTATGCTTTCTTTTACAGCTGGTTTAGAAAAGCTTTTGTTATGATTGTGTTTGGTCATATATTTCAAACCGATTCTTCTAGAACAAAACTAATTACAGATTAAAGCTATTTAATCACATATTAATTATATTATATATAATTCATTAATAAATTATTATAACCGTGACAATATTAAATTGACAATATTATGATTGTTACAAAGAGGTGATTATGATTTATGGAATTAAATGAACTATCATTTTGTTGAGGGGTTTAAATAAAAGACAAAGAAAGATTTTTGTTAAATATTTGCAGGACATGAAAAATATTTATATTCTCACAATGATTTGTATAATTCAGTAACAAATAGGTCTACAATTTCAGAGACCATGTGTAGAGAAAGATAAATATTATTGAAATCCCTTGTTAAGTTAATACTTTTGCATCTTGCTTTCTTTATCATGTGCTGCCAACATTGATGTGCAATTGTGATGCAGGCTTTCTCATCTCATCTCTGTGTATGATATTATGAAACAAATATGATAATATCTCTGTGTGCATTTATTCAAACTAATAGAATGCCTTAAAGTCCAAGCCTTCCTAGAACAGTTGTTGACCTCTAATGTGATTTATCAGGCAAACATCCACACTGTGTAATTTTTGGAGAATATAGAGGACAGACCTGGCTGCCACCACATTTAGAAAATAACTAAATAAATCACCATTACATTTTTGCCATCATCATACAGTCTATTTGATTATTTTATTTCCACAGAATATTGTACTTTTTAAGAGTACAAAAAAAATCTCTCATCTAACGTGCTGAAAAAATAACATCTTCAGAGCTCACTTAGTGTAAAATTATCTTTTGAAAAAAACTGCAATTCATGTACTGACAGTGTGCAATGTTATTTGCACTTCCTAATCAAAGGTTACTTAAAGCAGAAAGGTAAGGACTTTTCTGTTTTTCAAAAAATAATGTAATAGCATTTTTATAATGGCAATTTAATTAAACAACCATATGTTGTTCAATTAAAGTGTTAATAATTATGGTTATTTTTAATGTATGTTACTAAATGTAAGATTTCCAAATGGAATACAAATATACAGCACTTTCTTAAAACTACCTTCTAAAAAGTGTTTTAATGTTGGTTTTATTCCTTTAATGCCTGAATTGAAAAATAAAGATGGAACATCAGTGGTTAATTATAAAATGGTCTCATTGAACAGGCATCAGGTCAAATTGTCACACTTTTGCTTCCAAATGCAGCCAAACACAAGCGGCTTTACTCCCTTCATACTGTATATTTTCTTCCAGTTCTCCCGATGTCAGCAAACCGTCCAGAAACATAGAACAAGTGCAGACGTTTTGTCGCCCCTTTCACTAAAAGTTTGCTAGGTCACTTATTTCCTTGCCACAGATTCTATTCATCTCCCAGAATCACCAGAGCACACACAGACCCACAAAAGGCTACCCACAAAAAAAAACTCCACATTATTGTATTAGTTCAGGTGGGTAGCTGCATCAGCATGTGTAGGCTGCAAAGGAACAATTAATAGGTTTATTTCATGCTGAAAAGAGAAGAAAGAAAACACAACGTTTCGGCCATGGAGCCTTCTTCAGGTGTAAAGCCCTGTCTTCTACAACAGCTATGACGACTCTGCAGCGAGAACATTGATTTCCAGAACCAAGCCCTCAAAATGTACTCTTTTTTCATCAACAGATACCCGAGCAGTGTTATTGACAGGGCCCTTGCCCGTGCCAAAAACACCCTTCTAGATCATCAACTCAATCAGGAACTCCCACCATAACAACCGTATTCCTTTGGTGCTTCCCTACCACCCCAACACACTTCATATCCCCAGGACTATTAACGACAACTTTTCAATCCTAAAGGATGATCCCTCCATTGGGACCCTCTTTTCTGACCACTCCATCATCTCATATCGCTGACCACCTAATCTGCATAATCTTCTTGTTCACAGCTCCCTTGACCGCCCTCAGCAATCATCCACACCAGGCACTTTCCCTTGCAACAGAGCTTGCTGTATCACCTGCAAGTACATATCTAACAACCCATTCAAGACCCCTCAGGACTCAGAAGACATCTTGTACCTACAGCAACCTTATCTACTGTATCTCTTGCAGTAAATGCTCAGCCATCTACATTGGGGAAACAGGAAGGAGACTCGGAGACTGCTTAAGAGAACATTTTAGGGCTGTGAAGATTAAAGATTTCTCCAAGCCTTTGTTCTCAAAGATGATTTTTCTAACTCCTACATCAGAAAGACTACAGAAACTAAAATTATCCTGCAGCTAGGATCACATCTTCCCCCTTGTATCCACAAGCAGTGAGACTGGAGAACACATTTAGCCATCCCCCTCAGACCAAACCTACACCATCACCATCTACCTCTTTATGATTTCTTATCTATTGCACATCTCCAGTCATTGTATACACGTCTGTATTGTTTACATTCAAACTGTCTACATGTTTACTTGCACATTGTCTACTGTTTGTTTGTATATTGTCTTGATGCACTGTTTGCACTTTGTTTTGTTTTTGACACTTGTTTTACAATCGAGAGACTTTCTGCAAGTAAGAATTCCATTGTACCAGTACCAGTTACATATGGCAATAAAGTTCAAGTTCAAGTTCTCACAATGACAGACTAATTTTCTTCTAAATTCTCTCTATTCATTATAGGTTTCATTTCACACCTTTCTTCACCCATCCTGACTTCACACTACCTGATTGGCCACTCTGTCTGTCCCCCTCCTCCCGCCTCTCACTCCTCCTCTCTTCCAGCTTTTGTTCTCCTGCTACATTACCTTTGCTTACTGCCCTGTCTTTCTCACACCTGAAGAAGGCTCCACGGCCAAAACGTGTTTTCTTTCTTCTCTTTTCAGCCTGGAATAAACCTATTACTTGTTCCTTTGCAGTCTACGCATGCTGACACATCTACCCACCTAAACCAATTTATATTTACACTGAAATTGGGAAATTCAGGTCTAAATTAGTTAAAAAACTTAGCAACGTTCTGCCTTCTGCCAGTAATTCCGATTTGTTCAAAAGAAATGTACATGCAGTACTGCAGGAAACTGCTTTCTGTGCATGTAACAGCTTAAAAACTCATTAAACAAACCATCCACAAAACATAGTGCCACTCAAAATGAGAGTCATTTTCCAACACTGTGCTTGTCTCAGGTTGAGGTACAGTATGTTTTATTCTAATGCCCTACTCACTAAATAAATACTGTATATCCCTGTAGGAAATCATAAGCTCTTCACGGGTGAGGTGAAAAAATAATTTTAAAAGTTCAAGTTCAAGTAGATAGCTGTGTCAGCATGTTTACACTGCAAAGGAAGAAGTAAAGGTTTATTCCATGCTGGAAAAAAGAGACATAATTTTTAGAAATTATGGAAGGCTCCATAATTTTTAGGCTGATCTCTCCATCCGCATTCTCACAGAGTGAGAGTGCAATCACAGAGTGCAATCTTTCTATTGCAGAAAGATATCCAAAACCAAAATTATCCTGAAACTAGGATGAAACCTTCCTACTCCTTTCAATGGCAGAGTCATTTCCTTCTAATGCTTTTTATTCATTTGCAGGTTTTGACTTCACACCTCTCTTCACCTCTCTCGACTTCACACCCCCTGAGTGTCCACTCTGCTCCTCTCCTGCTCCCTCCTCCTCTCCACTCCCAGCTGTTGTCCTCCCCTGCTTTATCTACTGCCGGTGTTCCTCTCTCCCACACCTGAAGAAGGCTCCATAGATGTTTCTTTTCTTTCAGCATGGAATAAACCTTTACTTGTTCCTTTGCTAACCATTTCTAATCTTTTTTTTAATTCGAATGACTATCAAAAAGCACTAGTCATGCAAGCATAAGTGATCGGGTTAGTTTCAAGATTCAGAACAATCAAGGTGTGTACTGCATTTTATTTTTATGCAAAACAATCTAAGATTCTTTGAGATGAAAAAGCAGATGATAAATTCAATTCATTCAATGTTCACAGTCCTCAGAAACAAACCCTTATTTCAACATACACACAAACTGTTTTGTTAATGTTATAACAAGTTTGTGTTATCTGATTTAAACACGACACTGATCTTGACTCCACAGTCAATTCTCTATGTATCCCAAAATAACAAAAAGTAAAATAAAGTTTGCTATAAAGAATTTGATTATATATTTAATATTTCTTATTTTAAAACACAGAAAATATAGTCCATATAACAGCACTTATATAATAGCAGCCAGATCAGGATTAAACTCAATGTCAATAAGTTAGCCTCATATTCATACTGTATATTATGTAGAATCATAGCTCAACTCTACAATCTTAATTCTGCTATAAATTTTACTCTTCACAATGAACCCCATGACAGACCAGACTTCCTGCATGCGCTTAATTCTTCAATTAGGCCTCAGCTTAGAGCTGTAGTGTTATACACCCGTAGCACACTTGTTTACTACTGTTGTAAAAGTATCTGACCTCAATGAAAGTCCTACATTTTAACTTTTTAAAGTTTTAAAGTTTAAAGTTTGCAGTGCAGTCTACTTTGAACAAGTGACGAACAGCTTGTGTTTTCCAACTTTTCAATACTGAAGTAAAAAAATATATTTGTCATAAAACATGATTCAAAGCTTCATAAATTATTTAAGGTTAAAAACCGTTTTCTTCATATCACAATTTGAAGGCCAATATTCAGAAATTTATAAAGATTTGGCCCTGGAAAGGTCCTCCATAAAAGATCCAAAACTAATAAAAGCTTACGGTTACCAAAAATTTAAAAAATGTATTTGAAAAAGACTGTTTAAATACAATTTAGACATTTCTTCATTTGGCTGAAATATATGGACAATAAATTTTCCAAAATGACCACAGTGTGACACTTTTGAACCTCCTGTGGGTGAAAACCTGGCACAGCAACAGCGCAAAAGAAAGGAAAAAACAGTATCAGTGATACGATTCCTTCTCCCATCTCAGAATGACATTTCTGGGTATGGGGTCAACTGCTGATCCCTTCTTGAGCCTCACATGTAACTCTTCTGTAAAGAAATCATTGGAAGATCACACATTTCAATTTGAACAGGGCAAGAGGTAAACATTTTTTTA